ATGAAGGCAATGCTAAGAAACCCAAGGAGAGAACATCCCCAGTCCAGACCGAGATTGGTAAACATGGCACCTGCAAAGACGGGGAATGCGGCACCCATAGAGGAGCGGGCGAGGTCGTTGCCAGCGAAAACAGATCCAATGTACCTAAGAGATGAATTAGCTTTTCTTTCTTCCGTCTGTCGCAGAGAAGAAAATAAGGCCGGAAACAAAACGTACTTTGGATACGAATCTCCTTGGTAGTTCAGAATTGCATTGAACAACAAGAGGCCACCGAGTGAGAAGAAACTGGATCCGATAATCGGTACGATCCAGTGTATGCTTTCCCGGACGGTCCATCCAAACCAGAACAGACAGATGGGTAGGAGAATGGAGCCGACAATAGCGGGTGGGAGGCGATCTTCAGGCGTGAGAGTACCTGCATCATACTGTTTCTCCTGCACAACATACAAGAAGACAAAGTAACCAGCCATGCAGACGAAGGAACCGATGAGAAGACCCAGGTATGTGAGACCGGAGATTCCGAGGCTCATGTGGTACACACCAAGGAATGCGCCGGGGAAGGCTTCGAACCAGCAGTACAGCACCGCATAAACGAGGCCGATGTAGACGTCGGTCAAGAGGAGGATGGGCTCGCGGAAGGTCAACTTGAAGGGGAGCCAGAGGGCGGCCTTTGCGAGGGTGACTTTGCTCATTTTGGCCACTTCTATCTCGGCCTCAGTGCGGAGTGTTGGGTCATCGAGGGTCTTGCGTAGGCGGTGGGCGCGGTGGTACAGGATGGTTGCCGAGTTGGTCTCCGGTAGACAGAATGCGAGCAACACAAAGCAGAAGGCGTTGAGCCAGATCAACTCCCAGATCGGCCACTTCCAGCCCTTGAATTCCGCTGCAAAGCCTCCGACCAGGGGGCCCAGACAGGGACCGCAGACTGCGAAAATACCCCAGATACCTACACTGTTCAGCCTCGTGAAGTGCTTACACCGGACCCCCAGAGTCCGCGGGTCAGTATGCTTACCAATAGGATACATTCTCTTCTTCTCAGACCAAATATCTGCCATGGTGGCCCCGCCGGTTGCCAACACAGGAGATCCAACGAAGCCCGTCAAGAATCGAAATGCTAGGAGCATGCCGAGATTTTTGGCATACACGACGCCAAAATTGAGGAAGATGAAGCAAAGCACCGATGTGATATAGACTGGCGACCTCCCAATTGGAGGGGCTTCGGTGAAGGGAGCGAGAAACATAGGTCCCATGCCATACCCCAGGACAAAAACTGTCAGGCCCAGCACCGCAGGCACCTCTGCGATACCAAACTGACGTTGAAGGTCAAATATACCCGGTGTATAAATGGCCGAACCAATGTAGATGGTGAAGGTGAGGAAGCACACCTGCGCACTGACGGAACACTTTTTGAAAAAGGACCAATTCTGAGGGTTGGCCGGGTCTTGTTCGTCCAACCAAGTGACGATGTTGTCGTTGTTGTCCGCCTGGGTCTCGAGTTTGGTGAGGTCAGAATCAGGGCCCATCTGGGCCGAGGCGTCTGAGAGTTTGCGAGTGTTGCCTCCCTGCTGGGCCGGGGCGTCTGCAGATGAATTTGGACGGTTCGTGAGAGAAGGAGGGCTGGGTCGTGGTCCCTCAATATCCAATACGTTGGCGTTGCGAGTGGTAGTCCATGTCTGCAAGGACTCTGTGAGACTGAGCTGACTGGTGATGGCGCGGCGGTACTTCTCGGGGTTGACCTCGTCTTCGTATTTGAGCAGCCTGCCTCCCGTGGCCAGGCGGATCAGGAGACCGACAAACGTTTCTCGAAAATTGTCCATTCGTGATGGCTCTTCTCCTCAGGAGGTGGAAGCAAAATGCCTGCCCGAGATAGAGGGAATATTATTTTGCAGATGGTTTTGGGCACTGCTTCCACTGGCAGGGACACCCGTGACGGGGTATTTATGGTGATGGAACGGATTGCAATCCAGAGCAATATAACCACGGCCAGTCGCCGCCATCCTTTGATGAGGGTCCATGTCGCGCCTTGGCAATACATGGATTGTGTACAACGGCGTTCAAACAGCATCCATGAAAAAAGCGCAACGGACACTGTCATTCAATGTCCATGCACGACGACATCAGTGGCCCCTTCTGCTCGAGGAGTCAATAGTGCTTACCCGGCTACCGGTTTGAGGATAGGACTCAATGGAGGCGGCGACGGGAATCTCAGCAAACCCCTTCCCTGACCCTACCCTGTACGTAGTAGATTTAGACGACATCCGCTTGGCCCTGTGATGGAAAGGACCTCCCGTTGGCTTTAACCGTCTCGCCCGCAGGACTTTGAATACGAAATACGCTTTGGTCTGTAATAGGTGAATTGGTGTTTTGGGGTGTTTCAAATGTGGCATTGAGAGATGGGTGTCGATATACTGTATGTCGACACTACGTCGACCCAAATCAAAGGTATCAATTCTTTGGTCTCGCCCATTCGAGAGATTACCAGTAGAAGCTTGATGAGCACTTGCGCTACGACCCAGGAAGTTCCTCCCCTCTCTAGAGTGCCGTCCGCTCAATAATTATTCGGACAGCCTTGGAGAAAGAGGTCATAGCACACACAACTCCGTCGCCCTTGAAGACGGCGCCAGCTAATTTTCGGTCAATCCTTGCTGGCAGTACTCAGTAGTGTGATATCTGCGGAGCCGTCCGCGGTGGGACGGCGCCCCACCGGGCTACTGAGTACGCCGGAAGGCCCGTTGGATGAGCCGCTGATTCGTCTGACCGCGAAAGACCGGCGCCTTAAGAGGGGGAAGTCCAGAAAGCCGGTCAACTCAACAACCATCATAAATACTTGAAGAGAAGCTGGGTACACGTCAAAAGTCTCAGACTATGTCTGAGTGAATCGACATGCGGACATATAGGTTATTAACCTATCTACACTAACTAATTATGGATTAGGTCACACTTGACTTGCCAATGCGACCGCCTGCGCTTGGATTCAAAGCCGGACAGGCTGTTGAAGCGCTCTGCGGCTGAAAGCTTGAGACATCCACGATGTAGACCCTACCGCAGCCTCGTGCTGTATCTACTACCTATTTACGGGGGGTTTTGCAGAACCAATGGGGGTAAGATTGGCCGTGTGCCCCACGAGGCGGAGATCAAAGACCAGATCTGCTCCTTCTAAGGCATCGACATCCCCTTTGTTATCCGGGAATCCCTCGAAGGCCCGGGCGAGTACACCCTCATCGACTATTGTTATATTGACGGCCAAATGAACGAAAGGTTTTGGTAGACGCACGGAACTGCGGAAACGCAGGAGATGTGCTTGGTTTGATTTCCTGGTGAGCTCGAAGCGAGCCACGGTATAGACCAACGACCCTTAGTATCTACTATCTACAATGCACGCTGATTTCTCTCTTTCCTAGCACACGGCATTGGGATATACCTCTTTGAACGATCCTCTTCGACCTAGGTCGTAACATTCCGCGGAGGGCAGCCAGTTTAATGCCACTCCCTTATTGCGTCGTCACCAACCTTAATTCCCTTCCGCGGAAGCACGAGCAAGGAACAGCTTAGAAATCAGTATAGATTCGCGACTACAAACTTTCAACAGGCACATATAACGAGCTAACAGCCCGGATGGACGGTGGGAGTTACCATCTTCCAGACAGAACACTCTCGTCCCTTTCCCGCCGCGCATCTAACACTCACCATGGCGTCCCCTCCTATGAAAAGTTTCGTCTCGTTCACCGAAACATGGCACAATAGACCATACCCGGCCATCCTGCCCACGAGGCCAGAGATTTCAGCAGCTGGGAAGAACGTCGTCATCACGGGCGGAGGGACGGGTATCGGGAAGGCTGCCGCGATTGCCTTTGCCCAAGCCGGCGCCAAATCGATCTCCATCATAGGGCGGAGAGTCGACCGCCTCCAGACGGCTGGGGTGGCCATCAGGGAAGCCAACCCTTCGACCCATGTGGTCTTGCAGATGGGCGACGTCACCGACCGCACGTCCATCGCGGCCGCTCTGGGTGCCATCGTTGCCCAAATCGGCGGCCAGATCGACATCTTCCTGAACAACGCCGGTATGCTCCCTAAGGAGGCTGCGGTCGTCGACTACCCCGAGTCAGAGGTTCGGCGGTCCTTCGAGATCAACCTCATCGGCTCGTTCAATGCCCTGCAGGTGTTTACCCCTCTGGCGGCCCCCAGCGCGAAGCTCCTCAACATAGGCAGCGCCATCAGCCACTGGGCTCCCCTCCCAGAAGTGCCGGGCGTGTGGAGCTACGCGGCTGCCAAAGCGGCGGCGCTGAAGATGATCGAGTATTACGCATCCGAGAACCCGAACATTCACGTCGTGAGCATCCACCCAGGCATCGTGAGCACGGAGATTAACCCGAACATCCCCGTGGGGCCAGACACAGGTAAATCTATGCTCTTCCAATTTTGTGCCATTACATCGATGGATGCGTTGCGTCAGATACTAACACACCTTTACAGTCGAGTTGCCGGCACATTTTCTCGTGTGGATTGCGTCGGACGAGGCTGCATTTCTGAGGAACAAGTTCGTCTGGGCGAATTGGGATGTGGAGGAACTCAAGGCGCGGGCGGAAGAGATCCAGACATCGTCGCTGCTGAGGGTATCGTTGAATGGCGTCGACATGTAATTCGGACCTCGTCGTTGCCCGATACGCTGATAGAGCTTGAGATAGCGAATCGCCGTGAGGGTGGGTTGGGCTGCATTTTGCTTTGCATATAGCTTTCCACCCTAGTGGTTCTGCTATGGGAGAGACCAGAATGTCTAACTAGGAAGGACAAATTATTCGTCGTGGACTCGTGGCCTCCAACAAACACTTCCATTGGACTATTGCCCTGCCTCGTGCCATTACTCCAGGGCAGATTGACAACAACAATATCATGGAAATTACATCGAGCATTGAAAAAATAGTCCAGCGATGAGTTCGGCTTCTTGCAAGAGCTTGCCGCACGGCTAGACGTCTTGGTCACAAAAGGGGACGAAAGGTGCCATCCTAAACGTCAACCATAGGCGATAATGCACAAGCATAACGCAGGAGCTCTTCACATGCATCTCGTAGATCTTTCAGAGGCTGGTGTTCTGTTTGTTGTATCAGATCCTCCAAGAGCGCAATGGATAAATTTACCAGTGCCAGGTCGTATTCCACGCTCGCGTGGCATGGTTCAAACATGATGTTGGCTGTCAAACAGACAGACCCAGAGATATATGTGCAGGCGGTCATCCTAAAGAACGGAGAAGGTCAGCCGCCATCCAAGCATCAATGATACAAGCAGTTCGCTGACCAGATAAATGCCTGGTCTCTCCTTTCTACACCCCAAAACAGATCCATGAACCCACGGGTCTCGTCCACAAGTTTCTCCCAATCCTGCAACGATGGCGTTGGCAGAGGTACTGGAACAGTGTGTCCCTGTTGCGTAACTGTTCTGCCAAAAGTCCGCAGGCTCTGCATCCAGGGCAACGCCATGGCATCAGCGCGGTAAACCTGGGTCCGACAGGCGAGATGAGTGGAGTAGAGAACGGCAAAGCTTCTGCACAGCTTTGGCTGTCCGGTATGTACCACGGAGCTGGGTCGGAACGGCGGCGGAATACTAGAGATCCAGTCATCCAGCATACGGTTTAGACGAGCTATGTTCTCGTCTCGCTGGTAGTTGTCCATCGTCCCAGCACGAGTTGCAACGATGAAGTCGTATACTTCACCTTGGATCCGAGCAAGCCGTACGCGGCATCGAAGAAAGTTAAATGGAAAAGTACCATCGGCGTTGGTCACCGTTCCAGCTCCGTCTTCGGGCTCGGCTGATGGCCACTCCAGGTCGATATCGGCCTCGCGTTGTACAGGCGGCTGACCTGTGCGCAAGCTAATATCTCTGTCAAGGATGTATGCTATCCAAAAGACTCGGTCCCGTTCCAATACCTGGGAAGTGTCGGGGTACTCAGCTCTTCGAGTGTGTAGCCCCAACTCGTGCGCCAGACGTAAAGCAATAGCGATTAGCATCGTCGCAGGCTTAAGATCTTGCATACCTTGAAAGAGTATGACCATTCCGATGAGTATCTGAACGTTGAGTAGATCAGCGCCACCCATGATCACCTCCGAAAGCACAGTCTGGGCGTTGTGCAGGTAGTACGCCGCTCCCTCACTCAATGTCGCTTCGTCGGGTTGTATTAGACGATGAGCCAGCGCGAGAACCACGTTGATTGCCGCCCATGTTGTGCGCTCTCTTGGACCAGAACTTGTGTACCAGCTTTTTATCAGTTGCAGTAATCGGCCGGGGTGGAACAGCGGAAGAACCACGTTCAGCGTTGTGAGGTAGGCTTCCGTTGCAGACAGGGCTTCCGGAAGCGGTGGCAGTTCCATGCGTGCATCAGGAAGCTCTTTTTCGGCGAAGTCAACTTCATATTCATCGAGGTCATCAGCTCCGGCCGAGGCAGCCGGAACATCTAGAGCCTCGTCCCATTTCGGTACCAGGCTTTCAAGTTCCTCGATCCTCTTTAAAGCGAGGCCAAGACTTGATTCGAGACGCTCTACTTGTGATCGTAGAACTCCAATGTCTTCGCCTGATTCCTGATGCCTAGCCCGAGCTTTGCGGCTTGTAGCGCCAAAAGCACAGATTGAGTCATGCAGGATACAATTAGAGCATCGGGGCTTCTGTGCGTCACACTTGATCCTCCTGCGATAACAAAAGTCGCACGCCTGGCCAGGAATAAGTTAGTCCTTAGTCCAGAAAGCGGTGGCGATCGAAACAAGACTCGCGGTGAGACGAACCTTGCGAGCTTTGTGCTGTGGCATATCAACTGCGCAATCGACTGCTGGACGTTACAACTCAGCGCAGGGCAAGACAAGGCTGAGTATTTAGCTGGCTCGCCTTCCGCGGAAGCAACGCTGACAAATGTAAAGCAAAAGAGCTTCTACGTTTTTGGAAGACTTTGCACTAGCCTGTTTTGTGGGCCCAGAGCCATAATACCTACTTGTAGGTACTTGGGCCATTCTGCCATCGTGATACTCTCTCGGTGTCGCATTTGACGCAAATCCGGGACAGCTCCCCAGAAATGAGCCCAGACGAGGCTCTTTGTTGCCCCTAAATACCAAGTCCGAGAGACCTGGGCCCATCCGGGAGTTGGAGCAGCCCGCCTTGATGGCTTCCCACCTTCCCGCTTCCCGCCTCCCCGCCTGCTCGCTTTCGGCTCCTTCACTGCCACTGCTTTTACTTTTGCTTTTTGCAAGTTCCCATGGGACGTTATATGAACGGGGTTCTCCTATCCCTGTCTTGAATGAAGTCTCTGTTAGAAGTGCACACCTCAGGTCTAACAGGGCTGAAACTCGCTGCCTATAGTATCTTTTGACGCACACTTGCTCGTTACACATATTAGCACCATGGTCTCCAGGCGCACAAGGTCGACAGTCACCACCAAGGACGGAATCACATGGTACTACGAACAGGAGGGTTCTGGCCCTCACGTTGTCTTGATCCCGGACGGACTAGGCGAATGTCAGATGATGGACAAACCAATGTCTCTCATAGCTGCTGAGGGTTTTACTGTGACGACGTTCGACATGCCTGGAATGTCAAGATCATCCAATGCACCGCCTGAAACATACCAAGATATCACGGCCCAAAAGCTCGCTACCATGGTGATAGGTCTAATGGACCAGTTGGACATTCAATATGCCACCTTTTGGGGCTGCAGTTCGGGCGCGTTGGCTGTGCTGGCGCTCTGCGCAGACTATCCGGAACGGGTGCGCAATGGATTACCACATGAAGCACCGACATGGCTCATGGGCCATCTTGCCGATCTTCTGGCTCAAGATGCCGACTCCATCGCGGCAACTATGGCGTTTCACTCCAAGGCCGCCTCGGGGAACCACGCGGCGTGGGATGGCCTTGGTGACGAGGTGCATGAGAGGCTGCGCAAGAATTATCCTCGCTGGGCACATGGCTATATCACCAAATTGACTCAGTCCGCGCCCATTAGCGATGAGGATCTACATAAGAGACCGATAGACTGGACCGTGGGCGCGGGAACTCCAACTTGGCAATTCTTCAACAATGTCGTTATCGCAACCAAAGCGGGCATTCCCATCAAAACTCTTCCGGGAAACCATTTTCCCTACATCTCACATCCAGAAGACATGGCCAAGTATCTTGTCGAAACAACCCGAAAGTATTTATAGTGGAAGAACCTTTACGTCGGTCAGCCTACGGCGTGGGAAGAGTTAGACTGTTAGAATGACTTGGTCTTAGATCCGAGTCAACCCGCTTTACTACATGTTTGAACTCTCATTTTAGAATGGTAGTGCTATGTCTATCGGGTAAAGCCTCGTCACTCAACATTGGGGCAGGGATAGATTTTCATGAATCATGTCTGATCGCATGATAATGAGACTGCTATTGATTCTCATCAGATACCTGGTCTTGAACAGAACAAAGCCGTCCCTCTGTCTCCGGGCTACCCCCATTTTTTCAACTGTGTGATCAGGCCCATCTGTAGAAAACGGTCGAGTCATGCCTCACGACCACTTGGAGAGCATTATTCGCATGGCTCGACCGCAGAGCCACGCTCGGGCGTACATTTTCCTCAAGCCCCTGGTTTTTGCTCTAGCTTGTGCAGCACGAGAGCCTCGCCTTTGCCTTGGCCGAGAAGGTGAGGCGCGTCGAGACGAACCGGGACTTGACTAGCAAATTCGTTGGTCTAAATGGCATCCATCTCGTTGGCTCTTGAGAAGGACTCACCTGGTAAGTTTGTCGTCACAGCTTCGGGAAAGACCAGCGGCAAGAATTGCCGGCACTGAGATCAATTAGCCTCTGTCGGTCTTATTGTGAAACTGTGAGCGCGCTCAGACATCACAAACTCACCTCCAAATGCCAGTGTGACTAGATAGAGAAGCTTATACGCGTCGGCGTAGACGTGCTTCGCTGCTGATGCGGCGGCCGCGAGAACACCTGGAGTAACGCCCTCGATGGCTTCCAGAGAAGCGGTGGAGCCGGAGATAAAAGCGACTGGGGGTCCGAGTTATTTATCCTGCTCCCAACGGTCCGGATTATGGCTTAGATGCCTACCAATGAATGCCTCGAGTTGGGACTTGGGCAGCCCTGCAGCCATCACGGCAGCTGCCAATTCCGGAGCCATATTGGCCTCGGTTTTGTTTCGAATGATCGAGCCGAAGATGGCTATGGCTATGGCACCGCCCGTGGCTCGGGAAGTGCCCATCAAGCTGTGCATTGGTTAGCTCAAGTCACTAATATACGCGCAACAAAGATGGTGATTAACCCTGTTGCTATGCCGATGTCACCGTCGGCGGCTCCAAACTGTAATTCCAGAATCCCGACCAGGCATGTCGCACCCACGAACGTGGCGGAAAACGCAAATAGGACGACCGCTCGTGCAGGTGTGTATGGGGTGGCCGATGAGACCGTTGCCATAAACGCCACCATGAGTGCGGTCATGGCAGTGAACTGGAACCTCGTGTGTTTGAATCTACTCCATGAATATCCCCCGATGGCCGCACCGACTACATAATGGTTTCTCAGTTCTGATGGAGCTTTGGCAGGTCGAGGATAACTTACTAGTGCTAGGACAGCCCCATGCTAGACTATACCATCCCACCGTTTGGGGGACGGTGGTGAAAAGCTGTTGAACCTCTGTAAACATGGTTAGTGCTATGTTACTAACAGGCAGCACTGCTTCTCAGTTACCTTGTGGCCAAAATACCGGAAGACCGATCAACTGTGTAAGTGTACACTGTCAGACTTCGGAAGCTCGCAGGAATCAAAGTACACCTACCAACATGCCCGAGGCAAGAGAGACGAACAAGGGCATACAGAACCCCCTAATATTCTTGAAAATCTGCGGTGGGAATAGCTTTGCGATCGTGTCGGGACTATAAGCCTCCCACAGTGGCAGCACCACAAGGCAACAGATAGCTACAGATCTCGGGTTAGAGGCCATTCACTTTTCTTTACCGTCGGATCTCACGTACCTCCCAGGACCAGAGGAGCTAGAACATTTGCACTTTTCCAGGAATAAGGGTTGTTTCCCCAGGAGATGCCGAGGAGAAAGGCGGTCAAACCGCCACCGAAAAGAACGAGGCCCACAAAATCGATTTCTTTGAACTGTTGCCATCGAGTCTTACCCTCTGGATGCAGGCCAAGGAAGTCTGGTGGCCAGTAGAAGACAGTAGTAAGAACCAGTGCGACGGAGTTGGCCATGATGCCCACGTAGAAGGCCCAACGCCAGTTCAAGTGGGCGACGAGGGCGTATGCTTCAAGTGATGCACCGTCAGTGTCTCTCGCTATCTTGCTTGTTTGACGAGGATGAAAAGGATTGGGCCATGTATGGCATACCTATCACCGAGCCGAAACAGGAGCCAGGGAGAGCTGCGCAATTCATGACCGCCAGGGTCTGTCCTCTCCACTTTTTGGGCACGATTTCTCCTGCGCAAGCGAACGCAAGAAGCTGAGCTCCAGCAGCAACACCCTAGCAGTCGTTAGTAGTGGTAGCGTCTACGCCGCTCCGTACCACCATACCGTCAGGGTAAATCCAGCAATGATAGCTGAGACTGCTTGTGCTCTGGACTCGAAGATTAGCTCTCAAACGAGTGATCTCGAGGGCGAGACGAAGGACCGACCGACTGGCCACAATACAACCTAGGAAATTCTCGTAAGAACAAACGACTAAGACAAGGTCTTATGTCGCACCCACCAATCAACCCAAGTGTGTTGCCAGCCAATATGAAATTTCTGCGTCCGAATATATCGCTGCAGCGACCGGCAATGGTTTGAAGGACCGCCGTCGCCAGTGACCAGGCTGTGGCTCCCCATGCGATCTGAGCCGAAGGCCCAATGTCCGCGTTGATGGTGAGGAGAATGGCCGAGGGAAGCGCAAAGGACAGAATGCATGCTTCGTAAGTGAAGGCAAGAGCCTAGTCGCAAGCATCACTTGTCAGAGTTGACCATCCCAGAAATTGACTGAATATACCCACGATAGCACCCAGCGCGGTACGCAGATCGATCTTCCGACCTTCAAACGCAGCCCTATAAAGCTCGAGACTTTGATTATGCGACTGAGTTGGGGCGATGGGCTTCTGATAAGCTGAATCGTGATCGGTGGACACAGTCTCAACATGATTGCCTTCAGCTTGAACGTCTTCTTTGAGGTTGGACATCTTCTGAGCAATAGTGCGAGGAATATCTCGGTGAGTGAAGAAGAAATGAGATTTCGAATTGAGAGTTACTGGCCGGGCTTACATGTTACCCTTGGGCGAACAAGCGACCGATGTCTACGAGTATTTAAGATCGAATATTCAACGCCGCCCTGGTGTTGAGCATTCCCTCCCCGTCTCGAGATTTCCCCAGGTCCCGCCTGGGGTTGCGGGCGAGATGCGGAGGGCACTAACCTATCTTTATCAGGTAACTTCATTTGGAAAATTGGCTCCTCTAGCTGACTGAACTTCATCCTCTACAAAAAATAGACTCCGAGGACCGATATATCCGTCGTTCAGGATGAAGTACATACATGATGTGTAACCACCAATCTCAGGCCTTTCCAGGTTTCCACCTCAGCGTCAACCGAGTTCCCAATCAGCTTTCAAACGAAGATTTATCCACATAAGTTCAAACTCAGTGTACGCACGTATGCTGCCACCGGTTAACGATGCCCCCGTCTGACCCCGCAAAATGCGGGCCGGTCGAGAACTTCCCAAAGAGCTTGCCGTGTAGGGTTGACCGACGAATAGCCGAATCAACTTGACCGTTACAGGCTCGAGGTGCGTCGGTTGATTTCAACCTACTTCCTACCGGACTGAAAGCTTTGCGAAGGAACACAATGTGACCGCGATCGCGTGTCACGCCGCATCGGAGCATCGCTGTGGCTTAGAGCATCACCTCGATCTTTGCTATTCTTCACCACGCGCGAAAATGCAACAACAGACTTCCCCTCACAGCCAAGTAAAGCGACGGACATGCCCTTACTGCTTCAAGGAGTTTGCAAAAAACGACCACTACAGTCGCCATCTCCGATCCCATACAAAAGAAAAGCCATTCCGCTGCAATATATGTGGGCACCACTACCCTCGCCGGTAAGCAGTCATCCGCAAATTGAGAGGATAGTCGTAGCAGGGATGGCTGACCTGGCACAGGGACACTCTGCTCCGCCATGTCAAAATTCACGAGAGAGAATCGGACCCACGAAGATGGCGACATGCGTTCGCAAACGATCACGGTGTGCAAGGGTCTCACCAACGCCATTCGCATTCAAATGGCACAAATCCCGCTAGTTTGCCTAATGTCTCAGAAGAGGTCGGCTTGGTAGACACGACGACCTCACTCCACATCCACCGAGCCTTGTCTGGCACGACGTTCAATTTGAAAACAGGTACCGACCTCCCCGCGTCATCACCTATTCGGGGCTCCCAAGAAGGCTCGAACCAAGTAATTTCCGAAATTGATGTCGGAAACATCAATGTTGATATCAGATCTCTTGCTGGCTCGATGTATTCGGAACCTACAGTAGCTCTGGGCACTGTGGGACAGAATCCAGACCTGGGAGTTTTCAATCAGTCTCACCAAAGCAGCAGTTGCAGTCCACTCACTATCGCGAGCGGCTTATGTGATATAGACTACTCTCTGGATACCTCGGACTGGCTTTTAGAGAATGAGTTGTTCGAGCTGTTCGACTTCAAAAACCTCCAATCAGGGTCGTTAGACGGGCAGGTTGCGAGTGATAGCGATGCTTCCCCTTGTGTCCGGGACCTCCGAGATGTATGGTACGTCCCGGTAGCGAAAATGGACTGCGATCTCGGGACGAATGCAACCGCGATATCTTCCAAGCAGGCAATCGATCTCAGAGGCGACATTGATGAGGCGTATCGCGCGGACATGGCAACCACACTACTACGCCCTGTCCGCAACGAGCCTCTGCCATCCATTGACCTCTTGGTAAGTGATTCTACATCAATCAAATTGCCGAAATCGTCTGAAGAGTTTGCAGAATGTTTGTATCCGTCTCTTCTTCACACGTATAAATGTGATGTTGCCCCTCGTCCATGGGCCGACATTCCGACCAACTCCAAATAACACTTTGCTGGTCCTGTCAATCTGTTCGGCGGGGACTCTGACAATGGACTCAGGCAATGCTGCCAAGGTGGGCTGCATGCTTTTCGAACGTGTCAACAAATCAGGCATGACCCTTCCTTGGGAAAGAATTGTTTCTCGGCAGCCAGAAATGGCGCGCAGTAACCTCAAGGTGGCGGCAATTGGGCAGATATTTGCTCTCCTATCGGGAGAGCCTGCCCATAGGATGATTGGAAATTCGTTCCACGGAGGCATGATAGCTGTAAGTGCAAACCAGGGAATCGAGAACAGAGACTGACAACGCTTTGATCTAGAGCGCCCGACATTTGAAGCTCTTTGATGACACGCCTCCTCTTGAGCTTCCTGATGACTTATCCCCAAGAGATCTTGATAAAGCATGGAGAGCCTGGGCGAGTGAAGAGGAGATGAAAAGGTAGTTATCGATGCAACAGTCAGCGTTATTGTGCCTAACATGTCATGTCCTCAGATACGCCATTATCCTGTACATTCAAGACGCTGAATTGGCCGCTTTGTTTCACCAAGAGCCCAATTTTCGCCACAACACCCGACCACTGCCCACCGCCTGCTCTGCGGAGTTGTTTACTGCACCAACGGCGGCGGCATGGGCTGCTAAATACAGAGCAATGCGGAAGCGAAAGGAAGGGCAGACCAACCTTCCATCCGAGCACATGGACGCAGACACCGATTCAGAAAGACCAGTACAAATTGATCATCGCCACCAACCAGATATGCTGAATGCCTACGCAATCCTTTCAGGCGTAGGAGCCTCTGTCTGCGAATTTCGACGTCTGGGTCTACTGTCATCGGATCTCAATAGGAAGCTGGGCGCCGACCTCGTCCAGTGGTACGCTTCTGCCAGAATTTCCTTCCACGCGAGCGAAGAATGCGGCACCCTGTCTGACCTTCCCGTCTCTTTAAGAATACTGTGGCACTACACATTCATATCGTTGACGGTCGATTTGAACACTCTCGAAGTCGCCGTGGGAAGGGAAGGGCCCAACAACATCGTCCCGGATCTCCACGAGTACGTCCGGTCGTGGATCTCGTCCTTGAACTCAAAGCGCTCTCTTTTCCACGCCTTGTATCTCCAAAACCTCGTCACCTCGACGAATTTGGGATCCTCGTCCGCCATCCATACGGCGAGGATACTGTTTTCTGCGGCTCTCTGCTGGTATTGCTACATTCTCTACCTTCCGTCCATGACGGTCGCAACTGATATGGCGGTGGTTGATTCAAACCCTGACGAGCTCCTGGAATATTTGGCACAGCTGCCGGAATCGCGGTTACTGTGCACGGAAAGCCGCTCCAGTCCGGCTTCGACCCTGTGGCACAAGACAATGACGGAGTTCCCGAAGATTCTGGGGGCGACGCCGACCGAAATGAAGGAGAACACTCTGTGTGTCATCGAATCCGCTCTTCGGGGTCTAGGCACTTGCGGTATATCAAGGCGCTTTGCAGACATCATCTACATCTTCATCTCGGGCGAGATGAACGGCTAACATTTTACCGTTACGCTGTTCGATTTGCGGTCCGAGAAATCCCATATCTTCGTGCTCGAAGTTGGTTAGACGCGGCTGACGGTGTCTAGCGTCAATTTTTCGCCAGCGTGATTATGCATAGGAATGACTTGAAAACTACGAACAAAAAAGTTGACCAATTCCGGTCTTTGGGCGAGATTTATTCTGTCCAGTACTCATGTTTGGAATCCTTTCTTGATCCTAAATCAAAGAGATGCACACGACCTCCAAAGCCCAAGTTCGCTTGATATCCTTCATCTCATGGCTTTCCCGCCCAGATATCTGACAGCCAATCCTCGGCCTTTGTCATGCGCAAATCTGGAAGCAGTTGATTCCATTCGTCGCCGATGCCGAAACCTCCGTTCAAAGCCGCCAGCAAGACGCCGGCCACTATCTGTTTGGCAAACGCCTCTCTCATTTCCGGTGGGATTGCCGGGTGATCGGCTGGGGGTAGCCACGAGGTGTTGAAACTGGCGTCCTCGAGTTGGGCTTTGGGGACTGCTTCAACAGTCATGGGGCCTGAAACCGGAAAGAAGGCTGAATTAGCAATGGGTCGGTACGCAGAAGAGGGTGAAAAATGGTAGAAGGAGGGATCCGATACCGCGCACCGACTCTGCAAGCTTCAAGAATTCCGAGTTCATGAATGCGTTGCCGCTGATCCCGCCCCTTTCTGGCCACGCGCCTTCATAGTCGATTGCCGCGACGACGACATTGACCATGTCCGCAACAGTCGTGAGAGTCAATGGAAAGTCGGCGTCGGCCGGGATGATTGCACGCCGGTGTTCCAAGTCCCACGGAGTACAAAATAGTTGAACGTGCCTGGTAGACGCGTGTGGAAAGCCCAGGTACTCCAAGAACAGACCTGGCTGGAAGAGGCAGTACTCCAGCACCTAAGGTGGCTGTATTAAGTACGTAATTTGATCAGCGGTGAGGATCGTTCATACCTTTTTGTCCTTGTTGACCTGCTGGAGATACTCGTGTACTCGATCCTTGCTTGCATAGAGTGGGTTGCCGCTGTTACTCCCTCTATGATCAGGACCAGAGTCAGTAAAAGTTTCGTATCTCAAGCGATACGAGCTGTGACGAACTTACAGTGCCCATTCACTAGGTGCAAACCTCCTCACGCCAGCGGATATACTGGCATCCACGAGATTCTTTTGCGCCGTGCCGTCTGGGTCCAGGTGGCTGACGATGAAAGAGAGCACCGTGTGCACGCCTTGCAAATGTTCGACAAGGCCGGCTTTGTCATTATAGTCGACTTGAACCGTCTCAACACCCGGAGGGCCGAGCTTGGAAGCGTCCTAGAGGTAGGTCTACAAGTTAGTGGGCTAGGAAGAATTTCTTGCACGGTGATAAGGGTTCGAGCAGCTCACGGAGCGACTGAATACGATGATCTCGTGCGATCCCTTTGCCACCAGCCCATCCAGGACTTCTCGCCCGACATCTCCCTTCAGATCAGCACTGATTGCAGGGTGAATGGTGAGATCCAATGGACTTACTGCCGGTGCCACCAGCGAGCGCGATCCGGACCATCCTGTCACTCGTAAACCTACAGTATTCTATCAGCCTGGACGAGCCTCCGGTGCTTATGGTGATTCTTCGACTTCAGTCGATATAAAGATTTTCATTTTAGTTTCTTGCTTTTGGTACCTAAAAGCTCCAGGCTTGGTCTTTGTAGTCGTCCCGCATGCAAAATACCATTTTCAGTAACCAGAGCGAACTAGTACACAAGCGGAAGGCCCCGGCGGGGTTGTTTCGTGAAGTAGTGAGTGGAGAGCTGCCTAATCGGGGATCTCGAAGGTGGGAAGGTTTCGACGCTCAGCAGCGTCGACTGACACTTGGTGAGAGGCGGGGGGAAATCGGAAACAATGATTCCTCCTCGATTTCCGCAATCTACCCCGATGAATACGGCGTCAAGTCGCTATGCAAGAAATTAACCCGCCGGTGCTTTTCGAGGCTTCAGAGCCACTATTGAATATATTGCAAGGTTCGCTGGTTGAATCTTGTTCGGCACTTTGGATGGATGTACGAAATGTATTATGTGAACAATTCGTCTTATCGAAAAGCATGAAGATTGATTCGTCCATCGAGGTAATGTTTCAGGGAGCTACAATGGCTGCACTTCGAAGTTAGATATTCAATGCCAATAGACACACTAGTCCACGCAGTCTTTCTGCTTCGCCCAAGCACTTTCTTATTGCCCACGTCAGATTTCAAACTTTTCGCCAACCAACTGCTCACTCAGTTTCCACAAATTTTCAGCATTGCTGCTGTCCTCGGCGTACTCGTACGTTGGCTCAACTTTGGTGTCGGCCAGGTAGGCCCCACTGTTCCCTTTGAGCCTGGGGTCCAAGGCCGCTATAAGCGTAGTAGAGATGCCCTGCTCGATGGGTTTGGGAATGTCCTCAGCCATCATATTGAAATGGCGGCCGGTGTTCTTGACAGCGATAGGGTCGATGCTCGCCAGAGATTTTTCAACTTCTGTGATATACCTGCCCAAATTCGTGGTTAGAATGGCGCCAGGGTGAACGGCGTAGCTTTGGATTTCTCGAGGCCGGAGCTTCTCGGCGAGAGCACGGGCGAACAGAATATTGGATGTCTTTGCTTGACCATACCCGGACCAAGGGTCATACTCCTTGCCGTCCGCAAAGTTATAGTCGTCAAAACGGACAGGACTAATCTTGTAGCAGAGACTGGTAAGATTGACGATTCGTGCACCAGGACCCGCGGCCAGAATCTTGGGCATTAGGATTTTAGTGAGCAGGAAGTGGCCCAGGTGGTTTGTGGCGAACTGCAGTTCGACACCGCTCTTGTTTGTCTTGTACTCGTCGACGGCCATAATACCAGCATTGTTGATCAAGCAATCAATCCTGTCCACCGACTTGTTTATGTCGTCAGCTGCGGATCGAACGGAGTCGAAGTCGTCCAGCTCAATGGGTACAAAGGTGGCTTTTATGGAGGCATTGATGTCTTTGATTCGCGCAATGACGGGATCAACTCGAACTTGGGCACGAGCTGTGAGAACCAAATGTGCAGGATTGCCACGAGCCAGAGCGATGGCGGTCTCTGCACCAAGCCCTTTGTCGCTTGCACCAGTAATGACAACTGCCACATGGTCAGCAAGGCAGTCTCTGAGGTCAATTGCGGAGGGAAAACCCACATGTCTTGCCCTTAATTTGATCAGCGAGCTCTGTCACAACTTCCACGCCAGTAGTGTCTCGCACGAAGTCCTTCATGTTGATCAGAGGTTCTGCTGGTTGGAAGATGATGGAAATCGTCGAGAAGGTCGGGGTTTTTGTTTGTTCTTTTTAAGTCGGGCCGTCACCGGTATCAGGATATCCTGCCAGGCTGCCCTCTCCTAAAAGCATATGGCTTATTGAATACTTCGTCATGATTATGCCGGTTGCTTGATTGCCACGCCGCCTTGATGACCACAGTGGGGCGCTCCGCATTTTACGGGGCGAGATAGCTGGAGCTGGGATATGTTGACGGAGTACGAGGTACGTAGATATACATGGTACATGGCGAGATGGATACCTAGGCATCTTCCCTTGTTCCATTTATCTTGGCGTTTATTACAATTCCGAATCTCCGAGAGAACCTCATCAAAATCACCGTGATCCTCATCTCATCGCATCCTAGTCAGAGAGATTCCGTCTTGTGTCAAAAACAGCAAGACTGCATGGAAGTAGATGATTCCTTCCGTGGCCGGTCAGTACTTCTCTGCGAAGAACATACAATGAGCGCGGCCGGATTCGATCCCCTCTAGCTCCAAAGGTTGCTCGTCTCCCGCCATGCAGGAATCCATCCTTGGTGGTGCGCCGCGGTTTCAGCGGCTGAACACATTGCTCACCTATGTGCCCGACTATGGTCTTGTGATCTGCAAACGCTGCGAGTTTGCCATACAGCCCCGAGCCTTGTCGAGTCACCTTTTGCGCCACCATATATATAGGAGTGAGCGACGACAATTGCTGGAGAGAATCAGCAGACTGAAACTGCTGGATCCGGCTGAAGTAAATACGCCACCAGCAGGTATTTCCGCGCTGCCGTATCTTCAAGTCTCAGAAGGCTACCGATGCAGCTATCCCACATGTGCTCATTTGTGCATTTCAGCAAAGCGTATGAGTCTCCACCTCCACGAATGTCATAAAGAGATACACGCTATTGACGTTGAGATTCATGCTCAGCGGGTCCATATTCAGACGTTCTTTCGAGGCAACAAGGTCCGTTACTTTGAGGTCGACGCTCTCCCCAGAGTATCAAGCAACGAGGGACCGACAGATTCGACCAGATATCCTCTTCTGCGCCTCTCGCATCTGAGCCAGGCACAACTTTCCCAGATATCAACGGCCACGGAGCTCCCGATGAACCATCTCATGTATCTTCATCACTACATCACCCGTACTAGCGAGTCACTAACCAGGGGCAACGATTCCATCCTATTTTGGGCTGATACGATACCATTGCATGCTTTGAATCAACCTTTCCTCATGCACGGCATCCTTGGTGTTGCTGCATTTCATCAAGCGGTTCTGACCTCGGACGCTCAACAACGAAGCACGCACCAGTCGAATGGCCTTATACATCAATCCGCCGGCTTAGTTACTTTTAGGAAACTAATCAAGCACCCTTCTGCAGAGACAAGCACCGCCTTGACGGCATTCGCGCGCTTACTGGGCGTTCAATTCTGTGCTCAGGCTCTGCTGGATGCAGAGGATCATCCGCTGGTCGTCGGAAACTCACCCAAACTAAACATTTCCCAAGTTATGGACTTTGTACTCTTACTGCGAGGTGGATGCGATCTCCTGGTCAAGATGCAAGGAAGTTTTCCCGAACCCTCGGGCTTTGCCATTCCCTCTGAAGTTCTTCAAGGATTGGGCCCGCCGCAAATAACATCTGACGCAGATGGTGCCTTCCTGCCCTATGTCGTCAACCAGCTCCATGCTCTACTCCAAACAAAAATCTCAGCGCTCCACGGAGATCCAATCAGGATTGTCGACATAGACGACATCCCGCACCTGGCAAAGCTCTGCGGAGAGGGATCCCTGCTCAGGCCGGGGCAATTACTCACCAGAGACTGGGTACGCAGCAGCTTACCTTCAGACACAGGATTGAACCACTACATAGACGAGATTGCGGAAGCACTTCCAGCCGCACTTGCCGTGGCCAGACTTTCATTCAGCCGAGACCGCGTGCGAAATATTCCAGTTCCTCGGCCAGTCATCGTATGCTACCCTCACATACCTCTTGGAATCTACTCGGCTCTGGCCTCCCTCCCGGAGCGACTTATCACCCGTGGCCTGGTAGCCGATTTGTCAGAGCTTGAGATGTTCGACCAATCCCTGGCGTCGTTGGTGTGCAGCTATTCCCGAAGCTACGCCGCAGACACCACTTGTGCTCGCTGGAACGGCATTGAGAGTTGGGCGTGTTCGCTTTCAGACGAGTTCCTGCGTCACATAGAAGCAGCCAACTCCCTGGCACTAGTCTTGGTTGCGCACTGGTGCGTGCTCGTCTCAAGGCAGGAGCGCTTCTATTGGTTCTTGAACGGCCAGTCACAGAGGATGCTGAATGCCGTCCTGGGGAATCTCGATTCTGAAATGCAGAGCTTTGTACGGGACAGCCTGTCCCGCCTGTCGTCAGTGTGATGCCCCGGTGGATGAATTTTCAATTGCGCAGTTGCTCTCGACAGGGTCGGTGCAGTTGAAGTCACACTTTGTGACCTTTGGGCCACTCCTGCTAACTCCTCCCTATTGCTAGCGCATGTGTACACACTATCCGAGAGACAGTGCATAAGGATATGAATGGAGGTGATGTGGGACAAATGCGATCGTGTCAGATATTCTCTACCAATCGAGCGCTCTTCGCGCTGGCAGAGGCGAGCCGGTGGGACGAATCCTTATGAAAGGACCCCGACTCCCTTTTCTCACCACCAGCATCCAGTGGGTTGAACCGCGGTTTCTTGGTCAGAATTTCTCCACAAACAGGAAGGAGTAAGATTGTACAGAAGATCCCGTCAGGAAGGGCGAATCATGCTTCGAGAGAACCTGCAAGGTCTCTGACCATGCCAGAAGAAGTAAAGAAGGAGGCCTGTTTTCCCGTACTATCTCCCCCCATCATTCAGAACATCATATGCCGTTCCATGGTGGAGCCTCGCGTAGCACCCCATCAAATGTGCCGAAGCGTCGCGATTCTCGACTTCATTGACCACAATGTCTTCATCGAACGTAGCAATCCCATGCATGCGCTATAATTCCCTTCTCAAAATGTCCCACATTGTCTTGCTGCTCTTCGGAGTCGTAAGAGCGGGCTGCAGTCGCCATGTTCGGCTGCGGGGGAAGTGGAAACAAAGAGGCTCGCCTCCAGGGTCTTGGGTGCTATATATCACCGCTTGCCCATGCACAATTTCCAGCCTCTCGCGATAACTTCTCGATCCTTTGTGGCGTGAGACGAGCAATCTCCTAGAAGCTATCTTGATTTCGAAGAGTCACGAGCCAAACCATGGTATCAGAGGAGACAACAGCTGGAACGGTTGTGGACGGCGTCCACAGACTTCCGGGCAATGGGATCCAGGTGATTGTCATCGGAGCAGGTGTGGGAGGATTAGGCGCCGCGTTGGAGTGTTGGCGGAAAGGCTGCGAGGTGGTGGTCCTCGAAAGAGCAGAGCAGCTCTCCCCGTTGGGTTCGTCTGGATTGCCCCCCTTTTCATACTTTTGAAACACTTCAGGTGTCTAACAGAATATTGTGCTAGGCGACTATTTTACTATTACCCCGTCAGCGTTGACCACGCTCAAGGACTACCCTCGCATGCACGCCGATTATCACGAGTGTATTTACGACTGCTCTATCCACGTCTACACACCCTCCGGCGTGCCCATCTACTCGACATATCCGGAATGGCGGCGGGCAGGGGCACACGCTGCGTCTGACGTGCAGATATCATTCCTCAAACGGCGCCCGGTGTACGCGCGGATGCAACTAAATCAACTTGAGAGGCTGGGCGTTTCAGTTCTGTTCGGGCAAAAGGTGGTCAGCGTCCGCGAGAAAGGCGATGAAGTCGTCGTGTCCACCGCTTCGGGGGAGACATTTGTCGGCGACGTCTGCATCGGCGCGAATGGGATAGGGTCATCCGTCGAAGGGTTCGACACCGGTCCAGATGTCGCGGTGCAAGATAGTGGCTATGCCGTTGCACGAGTGGCCTTCCCTGCCAGCACGCTCAAGCCAGACTCGCCCGCAGCGACGCTCATGAAGAACATCGACGTCCAGCCCGAATTTCGCACCTACGTGGCGGATGACGTACACTTGATCCTCTTCCTCACGCAGGATTGGGTGGCGTGGTGCTTCACCCATGCGGTGAGTGTCTCGCAGCAAAGCTCCAACTCGAGGATTATTAGGCTGACTCGTGCTTTCAACAGGATAACGGAGAAACCGCCGAGTCCTGGGGGAATCTTCAGGATCCGGACGCCATCATCCCACTGATCGAAAGGTCAAGCAATAATTGGGATCCGGCTGTCCTCGATTTCGTTCGCCAGACGCCAACGCGGGTCGTCGATTGGAAGTTGAGATGGCGCGACGGCACTGAGCAATGGACCTCGGAAAGTGGACGTCTCATCCGCCTCGGTGATGCAGCGCATGCTTTTTCCCAACTGCCGGCAACGGCGCAGTCCAGGCTCTCGAAGACAGCGTGTCTCTGGCAGAATGTCTGCGGATTGGCGGGAAGGAGAACGTCCACTGGGCGACCAAGGTGCACAACAAGCTAAGGTATGCCTCCTAGTCGCTGAATTTTTCTTTCCACAGATGACATTCTGAGCTGGAAACGTGTGCACAGGTTTCAGAGAGTCAGCATTCTGCAACAAACAGGGTTCCTGAACAGGGAGGAACTCCACCACGTCGATGTTGCTGCGATCGAACACAATCCCGAAGAGGTCACTGTCGGCTTCTTCAAGATTGGACGGTGGGTTTGGAACCACGATCCTGAAGCATACGCTCGAGACAACTACGCGGCCTGTCTGGCGAATCTCCAGGAGGGGGCGCCCTTCAACAACACCAATCTGCCTCCCGGACACGTCTACGTGCCGTGGTCGCTGGAGTCGGAGAGGATGCGGATACAAGCTGGGGTCAAGTCCAGCCTGAAGCAAAACGGGGATTGGAGTGCCTAAGTTGAGGCACGATTGAACACTGCGCCAAGGTCTTATTTGCTGAGGGTCACTGCTTCCGAGAAGGCGTATCATGGCCTGTGTGTGTGGCAGGATATTTCCAATTTTCCCACCGTTTCGATCATGAATGTTCCCAACCCAAGCAAAGGAGAGGACGGCAAGAGCGAATTCCTTACCATTTGTCACACAGACGGAAAACTCATGTGTCGAATTTTCCTTAATTGGGTGAACTTGGATGCGGACACACCCATCAGGTGGCCCTTTGCTAGGGCCCAAGACGTCGAAAGGATTTGATGATGTGCCCGGCTCTGCGTTCTAGGGCGGCCTCTCTAATCGTTCATTCGAGCTGCGCTAGAAAGCGTACAAAGGTTCTTTAGCTCGAAGGGTACACTTTTGTAGTTTCAACCGAGTTGATCACTCAACGCCTTATCATCTACATTGGTGGTCATTGGATGCGAAGGGCACGCTGTCCGACATGTATGCGTCCGATGGCCAGTACAGCAGAGCAGAGGCCCAAATCGCCTCCGTGTGCCAGGGCTGGGAACACGAATTCAGGCCAGACAGCTTACACTATGCTTGGGGCTTGACCCTCTGGGCCAGTGCTCTCCAGGGTCTCCAGGAACTCCCTACCGCGCTGGCAAAGATGCAGGTGGCTAAAGCGATGTATACAGAAAGGCTAGGCCAGTTTCATCTGGATACTCTGCATGCCAACCGACAGCTTGCAGGCATCTACGAATCGATGGGACAGCTTACCGAGGCCGAGGAGCTATTGCAGCACACGAAATATGGCCACGAGCTGACGATCACAGAGGACGAATGCCCGCCCGACTACCTCTCCACATTACTCGACCTCTCTGGGGTGCTTGCTGACCTGGGCCGCTGGGAAGAAGCCGAAGCCCTTTCCAAAAGGCCATGCCCTACGCGCAAAATCTCTACTCGGTGGAGAGCTCTCAGTATCTGGAATGCCTGCGGGCCCAGAACGACATTAAAAGGTACCAGGGCGACTGGCAGCAAGTGGAAAATATTTCAAGAGACGCACTGAGATTGTCACTGAGCCTTTATGGCAGTGGGCACTGGCAGACCTTGACGTTCCGAGCCGTGCTTGCTGAGTCGATGTGTGAGCTGGGCCTCTGGGCCGAAGCGGAGACAACTGCCTTAGAAGCCCTTGAGGAGTCACATGGTGTCGAAGGCTCGAGTCGAGGATGGAGATTGAAATGTCTGAGTGTTTTAGGCTCGGCATACGAATTGCAGGGGCGCAACGATATCGGGGTCGATACATTCCTGCAAGCCCTGGAGCTGTCGCGGGAGATATATGGCAACGACCATCGGCACACCCAGATTGCGGAGATCTGGCTTGCACAGAGCATTAAAGATCTAACCGACCGTCGCGATGTGGACGTTGGAGCTCTGGAGCCGGTTTACCGCAAGGTACGCGACACATGGATGAGAGCGTACGGCAGCGAGGATCCCAGGACGATCGAGGCGCGGGCGAGGTACGCCCATTTGCTTTCCGAATCGTGGAAAGAGAACGAGGAGGAGGAGGAGGAGGAGGAGGAGGAGGAGGGAAACTCAAGGATGCAGTCGTAGTGCGGAAGGGCGTTGTTACAATTCTTGAGAAGAAGGACACGATCGTTGCGTTGTCTGAACCGACTAATCTCTATCAGTGCCAAAGCCGCACTGAAGATGCTCGTGAGGTGGGTGAAGAACTTCAGTCAACGCCGGACGGCAGAGATCTGCTGCTTTCGGGAGGTAATGTACCTTCGATGTATCCAGTTGATGGCAAAAGCGTCCCCGGCGCTGATGAACACGAACCCTGAAGTAAACCTAGAGTAGAATTTAAAGAACCATGCTGAAGCTCCCCGGTTAACAGGCAAGGCCATACTGCGCCAAAACATGGTTTTAATCTGAATAGATGCAAGCCATCTCTCTTATGCTCTGTTAAAACAAAAAAAAAAAACCAATCGTCATCAGTACCGAAAGTTCGAGTCGCTTCCCCCAACAAGGCTTGATAGAAGGCAAACGCCTTTCCAGCAGACCTTACCCTGCAGGGCCAGTGCCAACCACGGCCGACAGTATATTAGCCCATAGTCTCGGATTGTGCTTTCGCTCGAGATATATCGGCACTGCTAACGTCAGGATCGTGGCTATCACAGTGGCCAACACATAAACCCAGAAATGCATGGGCTGTACAAGGTCGGAACCAAAGATAGTCTGTGCGCACCGGACAACAACCGATAAGCATGTATGGCTTTAAATGACTAGTGTGTAAGATCTGAACTTACCGCTAAAAGTGTGGCTGGCAAGTAAAAGATACTGATGAAGGTCAATGTCTTAACCTTTGTAGAGTCTTTGCGGCTCTCCCTGGCCAACCCCAGCATGTCTTCGTTCCCGGTTTGCACAGTGGCGGCGATGTTTCGAAGATCTATAATACTGGCCTGTAGTGCGCTGCTGCTGCTTCCAAGATTCTCAATAAGCACAAAGTACGGGATTTGGGCGAGCTGCTCTGTGTCAGTTGTCGTGGGCGGTCATGGATCAGCTCAAACTAACAAGTGCTGCTGTGCTCGCCGAGGTGTCTATCATACTGCGGATCACACTTTCGTAGTACTTCACCGACGACTGGAGTTCCTGCAAATTGCTTTCTATCGCATCACAGTGATCAGCAGAGCCTTCTGCTCCCAGTCTGCGGCGCTAAGACTCGAATCTTTGCAGGATCTGCATTATTCCATGTAGAACGACCGTTGACCGCAGCAGCTTTTTTCTGAGCTTGTGAAGACGCTGCCCGTCGGCTAGTGAGACATCAAATTGGCATCTGTTGCGGTGCTTCTGGGCGACAGTTGCAAAGCTAGCTTTGTTATCCTGAATTGCAGGTCATCGTCAGTATTAAGATGAGGCTTAGAACTCATCATATGACCAGGAGACTTTGGTCGGATTCCATACCAAGTCGTTCAGCGTAAGCCTCAACTCTGTAATGAAGCCCTTCCAGCCCTCAAGAGCCTCGTTCAGAAATACCATGTGCAAAGCTCCCATTCCGGGTTTCTCCAGAGTTGCATGTCCTAGAGTTTGGAACTTCAACCAGGCCGGCGTACTTGGTTGAATCAGGATCCAGACTGAGCATCCCTTTTGTTCGTTCGTTTTCTGGTACACAGCTGTCTGCCGCAGAGACTATGCGGAATCGTCGTTGCGCCCGTTTCGAGTATAATATCGGTAGGTGTAGCTGATCTCGCGGCTGACCAGCGTCCTCTGGTTGCCCGAGCCCTCCCACACGGTCGCTTCGTGGTATCCTTCCCACGTCTCGTCGTCGTCATGGAGTTTGAAGCCGAAAGCGCTGACAGAATCAAGGAATGGTAAGAAAACACCATGAGTTTTGAGGACATGGAGGAGAAGGTCTCGTGTCACAGACAGCTTGTCCCAGGAGTAGTTTTGGCGAATGACATAAACAATGTCACCAGATTTTTGAGACAGACTTCCGAGAAAAGACAGGAGGGCTTCCGACGAGTCGATGACCACACGAACTTGTGGCCCGCCAGCTGTCTTCGGCCATGATATCGCTTCAATGCTCCCGTCTCTGTCCTAGAAAAGCCTTCTCGAATCACTTAGAAGCCGTTGTCGATAAAACTCTGCACTTCTGTCATACGATAATTGGCTTGCTTCCTTGATGACATATGTGTCTACTTGAGAGCTCTTCATTGAATCGGACATGGTTCTGGTTCGGCTGTCAAATTTAAGGCCCTCTCAGCACAACAAGTGAACATAATTGAAGGCACAGATATGCATTAACCTTTTGCAGAGTCACCCAGATATGCACTTACTATTGATACAGAGAGAGAACGAGGAAGAGAAAGAGTACGAAGTCGTGAGGCTGAGAGAGGTACCAACGCCTTGGCCTCTAAGGCGTGAAGGTTTGTTTCGTTCAACTCCAGTCACGGTGTCGATGGAGTCCTAGTTCAGGCAGCAATTCTGGCTGGCGAGCGCTAATGCAGTGCAGTCGATGCCCAAAGGGGCTCCTCCGCCGATTAGAATCAAAGCAGTTCTCCTGTCGCCCGGTCATTGCTCTGGCATACACTCCTGTGCTCTGTGGAGCATCCCATATCTGACGGGCTCTCCTGGTTCGAATGTGCAGACTGCTACAACGGGCTATTGACCACAGGGGTGCCAACTTTGTGATGAGCCATCAGATGAAGCCGTGAGTGGAAGGGCGACGGCGATGGCGTATCTTGGGTACGTTGGACTCTGGTGAGCACCGAGGAGGCAATCTCTATCCACGGCCCGAACGTGCGAGGTAAATGGTAGGCGGTCGGCGGCGAAGACAGCGTCTCCTTACCACCTCTGAAGCCAGACCAGACGTGTATGTCCACCGACGTTGCTTTTGAGAACGTTGGTGGTTCTATTGGATGAGTCCTACGCCATCACTGGTAACTCAACGATGGACAAAGTCGAAGGGGGTCTTGGCACCCAATCAATCCTCCTATCACTCCCACCACCACGAGGCGCTGCCAACCTTCCCCGCCACGACGCTAACCTCGGACTGCCTTGTAGGTCGCCATGCGAGCTAGCTCAGCCTCACGCTGAAGCAGCCAGAAACCTCAAGATGCAGACAAGGCGTACTCTTGGTCTTGGGACGCCAATGCCCGTCCGGGCTGCACTGCCATCACACTTGCGGACCTCTTTGCTGCTTCTTCTCGAAGGCCGAATCAGCCATAATAGCGATGACCAAGCGTACACTGCCATGAGGCACCTTGCTGCACCTTCCCACCTGCGATGAACCCATGGCGCTCGACCCCGTCACAGCGCTTGCTGTCGCTGGCAACGTCCTCCAGTTCGTGTCGCTGGGCACCAAACTCCTGACTTCTACGTATGAATATTACGCCAATGGCATTCTCCGTCGACATACGGAGCTGGAGAAGGATGCGGGAACCTTGTCTCATTTGACCGCTCATCTGGAACGGGGGTTGACCTTCCACGCCCTCGGAAGAAAGCCAACATGGGCGGAGATTGGTCTACAGAACGTCATCCATGACTGTCAAGAGATTGCAAGCGAGTTAATATCCCTTGTCCGCGATCGCGGGGTCGGCGACACACACCAAGGATGGAAAAGTTTCAAACAAGCCATCAGATCAATGTGGGGAGAAGCCAAGATCAACGTCGTGCTGGAAAAACTGGCAAACGCGCGAGAGCAGTTGATGCTTAATTTATTGGTGTACTTTGGGTTTGTCCAACTGTTGTTTCTTCAGTCGTGCCATGCTGAGCCACGTGGGATAGATCGCGAGCAGCCTCCTCCACTGCGATGCTCGAGCTTCGAGGAGATCAAATGGAGGCTAACATTCTGCGTGAAATGCGCAAGCGATCGGCTTACCTACGAGACGAAATCTCGGCCCTCAAAGATGCTGTGGAGGCAGCAAAGGAAGATGGCGGGGAAGAAGCAAGAGCTATGTGGTCGTACAAGAACAGCGTGCATTTTGTCCAACTCTCCGATCACCTCAAGATTACCGTTTTTGCAAAAAAGATGGCCGCTCGCCTCTATTTCACCCAGATCGAGGAGAGGCGGTCAAAGATACCTCCGGCCCACGAACGAACTTTCTCATGGATATTCTCAGATCACGACCACGGCCTTAGCAACCATGTCCCTTTCAGGGCCTGGCTAGAAGGGGCCAGTGCTGTCAAAACGGTCTATTGGGTCAGCGGGAAACCGGGCTCGGGGAAAAGTACCTTGATGCAATACCTGTTTGAGAACGAAACAACAAGAACATTGCTGAAATCCTGGGCAGGGTCAAAACAACTGTTGATAGGACACTGCTTCTTTTGGAATGCCGGAACAGATATTCAGAAATCACTTACCGGTCTTTACCGGTCCGTGCTCCATCAGCTTATCACACAGCAGTCGTCGATTGCCACTGAAGCGTTCCCTGAAAGATGGGAAGGATTTTGTCTCGGGGCTGAACCCCCCAAGGATCTATCCGACGCTGAACTTCGTTCTGCGTTCGACAACCTTGTCCGACGGACACAGGATACTACAAGGATTGCCCTGTTTGTGGACGGCTTAGATGAGTTTGACGGCTCCGACGAACAGAGACAGGCGATGATCGACTCCCTTGTCCAACTGGCAAATGCTCACGAAGTTAAAATCTGCGCCTCCAGCCGCCCTTGGAATATATTTGTGGACGCCTTCGCTACTTCTCCGAAGCTTCGGCTAGAGCTCCTAACACGGGGAGACATTACAAACTATGTGCAGGATCACTTCCGTCAAAATCAACACTTCAAACAGCTCAAAGACGTGTATCCTGAACGGTCCGATGAACTTATGGACGAAATTGTGAACAAAGCCAGCGGCGTATTTCTGTGGGTGTATCTGGTGGTCAAGAACCTCCTTACCGGTCTTCGGGACGGTGACACCGTTGAAGTGTTGCTTACAAGGCTACGCCAGATACCTGACGACTTGGATAAATACTTCATGTCCATGATGCAGTCGATCGCCCCGTGTCATCGAGCCAAGGCATCCACTATTTTCCAGCTGATGCTGAACCCCAGTCATCGGCCAAATCTCCTGACCCTGTCTTTCATCGACGAGCAGGAGCTGGATTTCGCCACCAGCTCCCACACCAAGCATGCAACCCTCCCGCAGATTCAGTACCGCCATGCATTGGTGCCACGCAAGGTAAATAGTTTGTGCATGGGCCTGTTGGAGTGTGGTGACCCAACGAACAACCCGGCAAACATGCTCTGCGACCGTAATGTCGATTATCTCCATCGCACCGTTCATGAGTTCTTGACGAGTATGGAAGCGCAACAGGTGTTATTGCAATTCACAAACGGCTCCAGCGATGTCGAACATTATCTCTGCAACGCATATCTCGCGCAGATATTTTACTGTCGACGTCTCTTTCCTCGAGAACTAGAGGGAGATCCAGCCGGGCCGCCCGAGCGTGAGCTCCTGAAACGAGTTGAATTCGTCTTTGCACATATTTGGCGTCTGGATTCAAACACTCCTCCTCTGATTAGCCTCGTTGATGATTTGGCGGATCTCTTGACCATATATACCCCCTTACTTCTCAGGGCTTGTGCGGATGCAGACTATGGCAATATGCCTCTTCCGAAATTCTTGAAGATGTGGAGGACGAATCCGTCACACAAACCCCTGCTATTGGCCCTGGAGTGCAAGCTTTCACAGTACGCTGTCCAACGATTGTCCGACGATGTAACACGCGAGAACTATCGCGACAGGCCCATTTTGGACTATTGTTTGCGGCCTTTCCTCTCTCGGGACCAACCGTGCAGTGCTGTTGTTGCCAGAGTATTGGAGTTGGGTGCGGACCCGAATGAGGAAACTGGAGAGTCAACTGTCTGGATCCAGTTCCTGCAGCAGCTGCATAAGCTCACAGCGGCACAACGTGGCAATTGGGCCGGCGTGGCGAAGCTGATGCTTCAATACGGCGCGGCACAGAAGTATACCGATCAATATGGTAAGCGAACAAGGGTCGAAGGGGACATCGACTCCCTGTTTGACGAAGATACGGCGTGCGATCTCAAGCAGGTACTGGCTCTGTCGAAACATAAACGAGGTCTGTCGTTGATATCGGAACCGGTACAGCGGAGTCAGCCTGGTCCCGGCCGGTGGAGAAAGCGTTGGTCGTCTTTTGTCTTGCGGCAGAAGCATGAGGTGTAAGGAGACATACTCAAGAGGCCAGCCACAAAAGACCGGCTTGACGGAGGCCTTAATTGTGAATGGAGATGGGAAGTGGTAGAGCACTAAGTGGCTCGAGCTGATTGAGGTCTCGGGCAAACGGCATATTACAAGAAGGGCATCAGTCACTTGTAATGAAGACGCATGTTCTGTTCTCGAGTTTGTGTTCTGCTCTGAGCTGGCGAAGCATCTGTATGGCCATCTCCAACGGAGAACATTTACCGAGCGTCTCTCAAGTCCAGACGGTATCTCGGACTTGCACCCCGAGCGCTACAAGGCCATCTCTCCTGTGAACTCTCTGTAGCCTACAGATGGTGACCTGCGAATGTGCAAAGTTGTGCATTTCAGATCAGCATCAATAGTGTCCACATCAACAACGTTGTCGCTGCTGTTAATGCTGCGCTTCTCAGCCTGGTCGCCTATCGTATAAAGCCGCAAATATCACTAAAGGTTGAAGTCAACCACGCCTCGTCCAGCCGCTTCTCCCTTTCTGATCCTTTCCACCGCCTCTGGGAGTTTGTCGATCGGATATACCGTATGATCACCCGAGATCTTGCCTGCCGCGGCGTATTGAAGGGCCGTGGCAATGTCGGCTCTGCTGCCCACGACTGAACCGCGCACGGTCAGTCCTTGGTAAATGAATCTGGTAGGTGGTGCTTCGATGGTGAGCTCTTTGTTGTGCGCTGGTTGTCGACTTGTTTAGCTTCGTTCAAATCGTGAGAGAAGGGATAGGGAGGGATGTATGGATGAATGAGGAGACACCACCACTTACGGAGCCCTATACACGTCACAACCGCCCCGGACCTTGAACCTGTGTACGCTATGGCGGACGGATAGGAAGCGGCCGCGGTGACGAACACTCCATGTGCTCCGACTCCGTCTGCGATCCTGATTGCTTCGGCGATGGGGTCATCGACACGCTTGAAATCGACAAAGGCCTTCGCCCCTCGAGACACCGCGAGCTTCTCCTTCTCGTCTCCCGTGTCCACCACAATCGGTCGAAGCCCCATTGCCGCCGCCAGCTGCACCCCTTGTATACCCACGCCGCCACCTCCGCCGAGGAACACCGCCCAATTGCTCGGCTTGAGCCCCGCAAGACGCAAGGCGCGATACATGGTTCCCGCGGAGCACATGATCGGCGCGGCGGCGTAATCGTCCACCCCGTCGGGAATTCTTTGCGTATAATGCGCCGGGGAAGTGACATATCTGTGAAGAATGGATCAGCGGATCTTTGACGCTACAGGCGGGGCTTCGAGGTTCGAGTACTGTTGATATGTCCTATTGAGCATCAGCCTTGACACCGGGACAACTTCACCCGGGAACCCGGGGGGACAAACTTGCCCTGTTTTATGAAGGCCGCAGAGCACCGATTTTCGACAATACGTCTCCTTGTCGTCCAGGCACAGGTCGCAGTCGCCACAGACCGACCATCTCGGCTTCATCCCTGCCCGATCGCCCACCTTCCAGTTCGTCACATTCGAGCCGACCTTGACCACGACGCCGGCCCCCTCGTGGCCTGGAGATCGCACGCCGAACGTCGACATGGGCGGAGTGCCCAGGTCGCCCATGGCGAAGTGGAGATCTGAAAAGCAGATGCCGGTCACGTTGAGCTTGATCAATACTTCGTCCGGGCCTAGGCAACATGAGGGGGGTTTCTCTTCAGCGCCATTGTGGATGGAGGGAATGGGGATTTTGCCTCTCGCCCTGAGGGTGGCACTTTACCTGGCTCTGGAACCGGCACCATCTGAACCTCGATATGGAAATCAGGGCCTTCATTGACAACCACGCCCGCCTTGCACTCTTTTGGTATAGCAACGGTGATCTCGCTCTGATCCGAGGTGTTGGTGGCGTCGGGCCGAAATAGATATGCCATGGTGTTGTTGACGACGATGACGATGGCGACGACGACGATCGAAACCCCTGAATCTGGCCTGTAGATATCGGCGAACTCTGCAATACTTTGCACCGGTCTCCCAACCCGAGGCTGAATCTTGGAATAGTCTGGATATAAGAGAAATCCCGCATGTTCGAGTGCTGGAATTGGTTCTCCGAAGCAGCCATCCCCAAGTGGAGACCACACTTTCTCGCATTGCCGAGTATAACCTGTCGTATTGCGAAGAAGCATAGCAATCCACCCGGCTAACAAGGCGATTGCGGGGAAGGAGACGCTGGTTATAGTCTATTGGTCGTGATCAAGAGCACACGAACGCGTCACCTGTGGTATCGAAGCCTTGCCGTCACCCTTATAGAGCCCTTGTATCATTCAGCGCCTCGGCGGTAAAAGAAGAATAACATGTACTCGGCCGCTCACTTAGCGCTCACCCCCGACCAGACCGCTTTCAAAACCTTCCTACCTTCCTACCTGGGTAGTTCTGTCAAAAGTAATTTGTCGCACTTCAGGTAGGCGGGCATGGTTAGAGCTGTACAGTGGGAGGACTTTTCTACGGTAAAACCCAACCCAGGAACAGTCTAGTTTGTTACCTTTAATGACGATCGTGTTCAAAGCTCTAACCCTTTCCAAACATGTGTCTGCTCTCAAGGATAAGTATCAATCACTCAGCATCCTGCTTACCGGAGAACAACTCTTTGTGCCTCAATCAAAAGAGGATCACGTTCCTCCTGGCAGAGCCAAAACCGGCGACCGTTGGTCCTTGCCAAATTGCCACCGCCCTCGGGTTCTGACTTCCAGGTTGCAGGAGTAACAAGCCGGTCATTTGAGAAGTCCCAATCACTTCCTGGAATGCTACCAGGATAGAACTGATGGTTGATCATGATGTCTCGATGGAGCCCTTCTCCGTACATAATTCCATGGACATAACACGCACCTACGAGCTTGAACTTCTCGCCAGCCGGCCGAAGAATGAATGGGACGTCTGATCCAAGGAGGAGGTAGACCTGATCCCCAGGTGCGGTGCATGTGGGGCCAAAGCCGACATAATTGGTATTAGTGGCGAAGAATGCTCGCGAACTCACGTTCTCAAGACATGAGCGAGCGATGGAAAACAGGTCAGGGTCCTGGCTAGCATTTTCCATTGAGAGGATCGGCATGGGATGCGCATTGGGGCACTGATCGCACTCCTGCCTGTGAAAATCGCGCCCCGGGAGATCGTAGAAGGCCGCGAGGCTCCTCCGCTGGGGGTGTCCGGCACCGACTATATGGGGTGGCTGGACATCGATATCGAAACTGAGGGTTTGTGCCTGTCTCAAAGCGGTGGTGATTGGTTGATTGGTATGGCCGTACCTTCTCTGCAGGTTGAAGTCGCTGAGAGTGTGGAAATCGTTGTATCTTCCCGCCTGGCTCACTATCCCGATCGCAATTCCGTTGACTTGTAGTTCATCAGAATCTGCGGTGTAATCAAATTCGTGAACTGAATTCATAGTCGCTCTGTACCCGGACCTTGGATTCCTATCATGAAGAACATTTCGTATGCTTTCTCGCGGCGCTCTCCAATCAGGAACCCAGCTTGAGAGAGCATCACGCTCGACATATTTCGGACTCTCCACAGAGCATAATATTCTTAAACTGCCCGAGATGCGAATAATATATTTCGTCACCTTTGTGAAGAGTTGTTTGACAGGCATCGTATAATCTGGAGAGAGGGAAAGGCGCACGGACGAAGAAAACAGCCCTAAAAGAGAGAAGATATAATCACGAGGGTCTGACATTTTGGTCTCCCGACGGAAAGCTAAAAGTCGTTCGAGATCGTCAGTGGGAAGGCGCCCGTGCTGGTCCAGTCCATCTTCGACGCTTCTTGTTGCAAATATCAGTTGTGCATTTTCCGAATAAATTGTATGCGCTAGCTCAACAGCGGGCAAAATGGAGCTCTCGAGGAATTCCAATGGCACCGAACTACTTCCGCAGATGAGTAATGCTTTGGAAGGTAACACAACCTCCTGGAAGGTCCATGCTCGTTCGAACCAAGGCCTGTAGGTGAGTCTGGCTAGATATCTCAAACAATCGCCCACCACCGGGGATGCTGCTGGTGGACATCTAAACTGTGCTAGATGTTTTAAGGACGTCTCTCTCCGTCCAAGATCGTTCTCATAGATATAAGTAGCGCACTCAAAGGCTTCCTTTGTGATCGGATCGTCTTCTCCAAGCCATACAAGTACCTGCTGACACTTTCGATAAATGAATCCCATCAGCAAAACTTGGGAGGCTCGCTCTATCACATCACTTTGGTTGATACAAACCCGGTCAATCCAGAGGAGTCTCGAAGGTGGATTCCCGGAGGGATGGAAGCGCAGGTTGAGAAGCGCGTTGTACAGGTTGGGTCCTATGCCCAACAAGCCTGCTGGTTCACCGGTGCATTGGAAGTCGTATAACGGCTGTTGCGGTCCCCAGACATACGAGAGGGCTTCAAAGGGCGGCGCGCTTTGGAGGCGGCAAGGAAAGATCCGGCACCGAAGAGGGGCGTCGCGGGCGTCAGAGTAGACTTCAACGAAGCGTACATAGTCTTGAGGAAGACGATGGTACATATATTCATCCACCATTGTCAGCTGCACCAGGCTTCCACTTGAACAGGCGACGTAAGAATGTTTCAGCGTGTTCGGATCTTATTATTGCCGTTCTTGACTTCGCCATCTAGAGGCTCTCTTCAATCTATTCCTGCGCCAATGATATCGATATGGTACCGCAAGCTCGCGTTCGAGAAGCTCCGATTGCGACGAGCATGCGTCGACGTTTTGGACAAGTCTCAATTGGGGTGAATAGGGGCCTACACTTGAATTAAATCAAGTCAAAGGGTAGTGAGTGAACGTAGCCAGACCAGAAGAGGTCAATCTCAGGAAGAAACAGATCTCATACCAAGCTTTCGGGGGGCCCACACAAGCAAAAGGCTTGACATCCCACAAAGACCCGCCCTCCAGCCACCAGCCTCCCACCCTCTATCTAGCCCGCAGCCATCCACCCCATCTCGTACCCTACTCCCACGAAACCCACGAGTCCACGAGCCCACTGCCGAATGTTACCTTGCCCGTTGAGGGCCGTCAGCCCGGAAGGATCGTCCAGATAGCTTGCCCCTCCAATGGCAGCAGCCGGTGCTATCTCGCAGAGTTTTCCACAGGGCGAATCGAAGAGGTTCTGGACGTGATATACCGAGGGATTAGCAAGATTGGGCAGGTGGATGCGGCCACAAACACCCCGCCTGAGAGGCCCTACGGATTGAACGTGGCATGGACTACTGCATGGGATGCCACTCGATGACAAGATAAATACGACTGCAGGGCGCCACAGCCATGGGCCTCTCTCATCTCCCCGCGCAACCCAACCCCAATCTCACGCGACACCTCGGCCGTGGTCTGCCTCTTCTCCCCTCGTCGCCTCCCCAAGAGACCATACGGGCACCCGTGCAAAATGACCATCGACGAGGAGAAAGGGTTTCCGCCCACAGCGGCGGTGATGACCAGCAAGGCCTTTGACGGCGAGAAGGGCTTCGACACCACATCCGGGCCGACCTCAGAGGAGTCCCCGCAGCTGTACAACAACACCCCCGTCCGCCAGGACAATGGCGTCCTCTCCAAGCTGCGCCGGCTCGAAGCTCGCATGGACGAGAAACTGGGCGTCGAGAGCGAGGCCATCGACCGCAAGCGGCCCGAGGACAAGAAGCCGTTGCCCTGGCATGAGCAGCTCACCATGGCTCTGCTCTGGGCCAGCGGCACCATGAACACGTCCTGCTTCGCCACCGGGTTTCTGGGCTGGGAGTTTGGATTGAGTCTCAAGCAATCGATCCCCATTTACATCTTGGCCTCGATCCTGGGCGGGGCCGTGACGGGCTACTGCGCGACCTTCGGCGCGGCGACGGGCTTGAGACAGATCTCGGTCTCGCGGTACAGCTTCGGCTGGTACCCGAACAAGATCATCGCCGCCCTGAACACCGTCCAACAGATCGGCTGGGCCGCCGTGTCGTGCATCACGGGTGGACTGGCCCTCAACGCCGTGGCCGACGGGCACGTCTCGCTCGCGGTGGGGATCGTCATCCTGGCCGTCGTGGCGCTCGCCATCTCCTTTGTCGGCCTCAACGCCATCCTGGTGTACGAGCGCTATGCCTGGCTCATCTTCTTCGTCATCTTCATGATCATCTTCGGCGAGACGGGCAAGTACGCCGACAACACCACGCCGTCGTCGCTGCACGGCGCCACGCTGTCCGGCACCGCGCTGTCGCTGGTCGCCATCGTCTACGGCTCCTCGGCCTCGTGGTGCACCATGGCGTCCGACTACTACGTGCACTACCCGGCGACGGTGTCGCGGGTCAAGGTGTTCCTGATGACGACGTTCGGCATCAGCATCCCAACCTCGATCGGCATGGTCGCGGGCGCCGTGGTGGCGTCGGCGCTCAACAACAAGCCCAGCTGGCAGGACGCGTACGAGAACCAGGGGCTGGGCTTCCTGATCCAGGACATGCTGCACCCGCGCGGCTTCGCCAAGTTCCTGCTCGTGCTGCTCGTGCTGTCCGGCATCAACACCAACGTCATCTCCATCTACTCGGCCGCCATCTCGTGCCAGCAGTTCGCCCGCCCCTTTGCCCGCATGCCGCGTTTCATCTGGACCTTCCTGTGCTTCGCCGCCATCCTGGGCCTCGCCCTCGGCGGCCGCGAGAAGCTCAACACCTACCTCGTCAACTTCCTCTCCCTTTTGGGCTACTGGTGCACCTCGTACTTTGTCATCCTCTTCTCCGAGCACGTCTTCTTCCGCCGCCGCAACTTCGCAAACTACGACCTCGACGCCTGGAACGACCCCAGCAGGCTGCCCCACGGCATCGCCGCCTTCACCGCTTTCGGCCTGGGGATCGTCGCCTGGTGCATGGGCATGGTCGAGACTTGGTACACGGGCCCCTTGGGCAAGTTGATCGGTGACTACGGTGGTGACGTGGCCAATGAGTTTGCCTTTGTGGTTACGGCTGTGGTGTACACGCCCGCGAGGTATCTGGAGTTGAAGTACTTTGGCCGATAGACCAAGCGTAGTTTTCTCCGGATCAAGTTAGAGCGCCGAACGTGCTAGCTTGTCTTTTTTCTCAAAGGAGCACACAATTATATGATAATCAACAACAGTCAAGTCGCTGCCATTCCCATTAATATGTTCTTGCTCGCTATCTCAAATATTGCACACAGTTTTGCGGAGTCCGGGTAACGCCCGATTGTCATCTTCACAGGATTGTCCACATACGAGCGCCGTAGAACTGACTTAAGCAGGCCAAACTCCATACCCCCACGCCTCAGCCTCTGAGATCAGACTGTCGGCAAGCCCTGCGCCCGCTGCCCAGGTGACCATTTTGGTGAAGCCCACGGATGACCAATAGCTGAAACAGGTTCCTTTGGGAATGAAAGCAAGATCGCCAAAGATTAACTGTGCTTTTTCATCACCGATTTCGAGGTGCAGCTGACCTTCGGTGACTTGAAACGCCTGGTCGACGTCGAATTGGAGCTGAGACTGCTTGTTGTTGGGCTTGATGGCTATGCTGGCGACACTGAGCTTGTTGCTGGTCTGCTTGCCAGATGCGAGCTGAGCGATGACCTGACCGGAGCTCCGATGCAGGTATTTGGGACCGCGGTTGCTGGACACGAAGTAGGGTTTTGTGGGATCGTCGGGCAAAGATTGGTCGGCGACATGCCAGGTGTCCAAGCCATCTGCCGTAGTTCCATTGGTCCAATCTAGGTTGATAGTGTTGAATGGCTCGGGGACAATGTTGTATTGAGGCATCAGGCCCAAGACTTTGGTCACGTTGAGCTGCGAGGCATCTTGCGGGTCGAACGGGGCGGTGGAATTGTAAGGGAGACCAGCAGCAGTAAAGAACTGGTCAATCCCCCCGGGGGCCATTCCTAGGGTGAGCTGGAAGTCGAGGTCATTGGGACGATAGGTATGGTTGTTGCCCGGGGCCAGGAACACAAAGTCATTGGCACGCAGCTCGCGACCGGTGTCAGCATTGTGAAAGACCTGCACACTGCCCTTGAGGGTGTAGAAGGCCTCGATCTCTTTGTGGTAGTGGATGAGGTTGAGAGGTGCTGGGCCTGAGTTGACACCAACCAGCGAAAAGGCGCCCGACGACGTGGTGTTTGGGACCAGCGTTCGGATAATCAAGCCGCCGAAATCTACGGCGTGGCCCTGCAGATTCGGCAGCACATACGGTTGAGGCGTTCTGGGCGCCGCGTCCACCAATAAGCCGCAGGAGGCGGGTGTGGGTGTTGCCGTCGCAGCCACGGAGCTCAGGATGGCGCCGAGAGAGGCAGCCACTTGGAGAGAAGGCGTTGCCAGCATCTTGTCGGTCTGTGGATCGGAGGATTGTGTGGGAGAGAAGATCAAGGCGTGGAGGATGGTCTGGAGGAAGTTGGCGGGAAACATGGCGGTCGAAGGTCAAGGAGGAGAGCGGCTCAAGCTGCCAGTGACTTGGAAGGTTGGAGCGTGACTTCTTTGGGGGCACTTGCGGTGAACGAGCAAACACAATAAATACAAGGCACTTGACTGCACCGGCCTGCGCTGTTTTGCTGCCACGGTCAGCAGTTCAGTTCTCCGGTTAGCAACTAGTAAGCTGAGGTGGGGAGTGGGATTCAACCCTAGGCCTGATTCTCGTTTGACGAGGCATTGCTAGAGCCATACTGTAGGCAGTGTAGCGACCAGACAAGGATGTCAGTTGACTCGATGTTGTTTCCTACCTGTGTAGGTACGGCAGTGATGATGGCTTTCTGTGTCCATCAGGTGCATCCGACATCCTTGATGTGAGCATTGATTCAACGTGCAGGGTAGCAGGATGGACAGAGGATGAGTAGAGCATTGCCTGGGTTGTGACACGTGGAAGTGATTGTGAGCTGAACGTGATGAATGAACTTGTATGGCGAAACTGCGGACATCGTGCCAAGTCCCTAGAGCATACACAAGTACAGTATGATGGACTGGGGATCCAGCTATAGGCGTGTGGCATGATTGAATCGAAGAGTTGACAGGGGAAAGTCGAGTTCATGCCGCCAAGCTGCGTTTGTCGTGTCTCGGATTTCCCCAGAATTTCTGCTGCGTCGGTTTCGCAAAAGTGTCCACAACTACCTAGAACCTCGTGCTTTTCTGGTTCCCCCAATTCCCTCTCTCACGACTCGCGCGACTTCAATTGAGTCTCTCTGTCCTTTCGAACACCCTTTGGTCTCGCGATTGCTCCTCTTATCGCGCCTGTTGCTGTCTGCACAGCACGCACAGTACACACGCGGTTTCTCCCTAACCCCCTACTGGTATCCCACACTCACAACCATGGTATGAAATTCTGCTCCCTTTTCCTACCTAGACGACGAAGTCAACACTCGTGCAGTGATCTCCTCCGCGCAGCCAGTGTGTCGCACAGGGAATAGACTGACAGTGCGTCCAGGCCTCTGCAAGACCAGCATCTCCCATGACCTCCGGCCCTGAGTCTGGTCCCGAATCAACCCCCTCTGCTCAAAAAGCCAGTGGATCCTCCTCTATTGCGCGCGCCGGCTCTCCTCCGGGCGGTCCTCGATCTGCTATCCGCCGTCGTGCAGCCGCCGATCACAAGGAATCAGTCAAGAATGCCCGACCTACCTCGACACGTGCTGCCGGCGCAGGAGGTTCCTCGGGGACAATGTTGAGATTATACACCGATGAGAGCCCTGGGCTGAAGGTGGATCCAATGGTGGTCATGTTCTTGAGCTTGGGCTTTATTTTCAGTGTGGTGGCATTGCACCGTAAGTTGCTCGAGCACCCACTGGACCTATACGGCCCTGCGAGGAAAGCTAGTGCTAATTGAATCTACAGTCATTGCAAAGGTCACAAAGCGATTCTCATGAATGTATTAGAACAGCGGCTCATGACAGGATTCAGACGGAGAGACAAAAGCATTGGGTCACCGGGTATCTTCTATGTATAATATCCCATTCGAGCATGAAGAAGGGAGAGATTCGTTCAACACCAGGACTTGCTTTGTAGGAGATAGAAGAGCCCTCAGGGTTCCAGTCTCCGGTGGGTATCAGCCTGGGAAGAAGCTGCGCTATGACTTTTCTGCCTTGGCTCCTACACGTCGCCTTTGTATATGAGCCCTCTTTGTCTTCGAAAGACTGCCAGCGACATTCTCGACATCCTCGACAGGACGTATTGGTCTACATATTCTGGGCGTAAAGTGAAGTAGATCTCATCGCATGTTTCATTGTGCGGGACTTGACAAATGTATTCGGAAAGGCTGTATGCAAAATGTTTCACTCGTTCTGTGACTTTGTACAAATAGTTATGACGATCTCCAATTTTGAAGCGCGTGGCCAACCCTTGACCTTGGGCCTGACCACAACTCGACACCTGACAGGCACCATTTCCCTTGGCTGCCTGCTCTACTTGCTATTATATCTCTCGTCTTCCTAAGAGACAGCTCTGACCTCTCAAATATCCCTGCTGCGGATATCAGGCATTTGCATACTGCCATGACGGAACGAGACCAGGGTCAGGATCCTGCCCCTCCAAGCAACCCGCATAATGAAGTGGACGGCAGCGAAGAAGACAAACATGCCCACATCGAACTTCCGCCCGCCGAGTCTACGAAACAACAGTCTCCCTCTTCTGCGCCTCTTGTCAACAGCAATGGCTGGGATGGCAAACTGCGCATGCCTCCTCGCAACGCCGTCTTGAGCAACCCCGAAGTCCTCTCCGACCCTGACTACTCTGACCCCGATGCCCCTCCTGTCGAGCAGATTGAAGCCGACGAGGACCTGTTAGATGACTACCCGCCCGATTCCGAGGACGTCGACCTGGTCCATTGCCGCATATCGTCCATTCCTGCCCTAAGACTCGAGCGCTTCACAAAATTGAAAAGACTGTGCCTTCGCCAGAATGCCATTACCTCTATCCTTCTGCCCGAGACCTTGGGAGAGACACTTGAAGAGTTGGATTTCTACGACAATCTTATTTCGCACCTCAAAGGACTCGAGGACATGAAATGTCTCAAATCATTGGACATGTCTTTCAACAAGATCAAGCACATCAAACATGTCGACCACCTTCACACGCTTACCGAGTTGTACTTTGTTCAGAACCGCATTTCCAAGATTGAGAACCTAGAGGGTCTCTCGAATTTGACCATGATCGAGCTGGCGGCGAATCGCTTGCGTGAGATCGAAAACCTCGACACCTTGACCCGGTTAGAGGAACTCTGGCTGGGCAAGAACAAGATCACCGAGATCAGGAATCTCTCTCCTCTCAGAAATCTCAGGCTCCTAGACTTGAAATCTAACCGCCTCACATCAATAGGCGGGCTCTCTGACCTGACGAACTTGGAAGAACTCTACGTCTCTCACAACGCCATTTCTTCCATCCCCGCGGATGCCCTGTCCAACAACAAAAAGCTCCGCGTTCTGGACATCTCCAATAACCAAATCTCGCATCTCGAAAACATTTCTCACCTGACGGAACTGGAAGAATTGTGGGCGAGTTCGAACCAACTGAGCGACTTCCGAGAGGTCGAGAACGAATTGCGGGACAAGGAGAATCTGGAGACGGTATACTTCGAAATGAACCCCTTGCAACTGCAGGGGCCGGCGGTATATAGGAACAAAGTGAGATTAGCTTTACCGCAAGTAAAGCAGATAGATGCCAGTAAGTCATTGCCCCCTTCCATGAATCTTTTGTTGTTCCCCCCGGCCTCAGCGCTGTGCTTGGTACAAAAACATCCAAGTCTTGCTAACTTTGCCTGGTGTAGCCTACGTCAAGGTTTGAGGGTCGACCCGTGCTGGGTGCAGAAGTTGAGGCGTCCGTTCACCAGTGTCGTGTCTCATTTTGCTTGAACGTCCAGAGTCTCCAGCACCCGAACGAAGAGACTTTGCGAGCATTCCGCACGGAGGTTCTCCATCGTTTCTGTAACGATTGTTGTAAATGCATCTCGTCACAGTCTCGGGGGCTCTTACAAGGCGTTTGCATATTCCTCCTTCTCTCTTTAGCGCTGCATGTGGTCAGCTCTGCTGGTTGAGCTGAAGTTCGAAAGCATTGTGTAAGGTGTTGTCGATCCGAGGCTCTATTCCTCGAGGATGACTGTCTAAGCGCGAGTTGGACAGCTGAACCCATCAGTACCCTGGGGGAAGAGAGAAGGAACATTCAAGCAAGGATGTGGATCATGAGCATGGGAAGACGGTAAGGACGTGGAAATAACGACGGTCTTGCAGTGTGCATGTTACCAGCATTCATAACAAAGATATGCAATTGGCATCAGCGAAAGAGTTCGGGTCTCAAGCGACCAAACCCAGCCAAACGCGGTCGGGCTGCCAGCGAGCGGCTTCTGGGGTTCGCCGGCGAGTTTGGGGACTAATTCATAGCAATGCTCGTCCGTCAGTCACGGTTACACGGACACGGATGGGTGGCTAGGTGGCTACCATTGTTGCTGGCCAGAATGAAAGAACCCAAGACCGTGGAGATGGCAGAACCGCAAAAGACGCTGCCCGCCATGATCCGAACCTGATACCATCCATACTTGTCTGTTTCAACCCTCTGTATCCATTCCAGACGTTTCGTATCGTTTCATGCCTGCGTATCCTGCTCGCTCCTCTGCCCTACATGTAAATCTCGAGTCAGGGAAAATGGGTGAATTTGACGATGATCCTTTGTTGATGGACTGGGATTTTATGTTCATTGACAACAAACACCATGGGGAAGCTATGCAGCTACGGATGCATGTATGTATGTATCATCTAGAGCGACGGGCTGACATACCGAACTGCGAACCCTATCCCCACGCGCGCCCAGTTCCGTATTGAACTCAAAGCACAGCACTTCCCAAGTTACTCCTCCCTTGTCCGTCCCCGAGCCACACACGAACGCCAATGAACGCCTCGTTTCTCTTCTGGACGTGCTTGAGAAACCATGGCCGCTTCGCTTCGCCTCTGCGGCAGAGCTGGTGATGGGGTCCGGGCAGCTTCTTGAATCCATCCGAGGTGCTTGCGGGAGATTGTAGGGCTGGGACGGTCCAGAGCGGCGCAACGTGTTGTGCTATGCGCCATGCTCCATGGCCCTACCCGCTTCTGCTCCTGCTAGGGAGAAGTGATGCCGGAGAAAGACTCTCCTCCTCCTCCATCATGATACGACTTCGATGGCGCCCCTGCACGTCCTAGCGCGGCACTGTCGACGAACAGAAAGAAAAGCAAGATTCGGAAAACTCATGACATTGTTTTTCTTTTCGCAATTCTCAAGACATTAGACACCCGGGTTGACCCTTTCCTTTTTACATCATGCCACACACATCCCCCCCTTTGCGCCGAACCGTAGCACTCAAAAAGGGCGATTATTGCGGAGTGTGGTGGTAGATACCGGCGACGATGCAGTGGTCTCGCTCGAAGGGCTCTGTGACAAGACGAAGAATCATCAGTATGTGTGTTACTCACATCGGATGTAGCGGCCAGCAAGAGTGGGCTTTTTTCCCGTCCGCCAGGCTCCCCTTGTAGAGAACTGCGATGACACCGGAGCAATACATGGGGATTTGGGAGTGCAATCGAAAACTGCAAATAATGGAGATGCAAATACGTACCCAGTGTCAATTGTTCCTTTGGCTTGATCCGCTCCTCCCTCATCTTCTTCACCTCGTTGGCAAACACCACCTCCGGCTTGGCCGTCGAGTCGATACAATTCGCCTTGATGCTGACCAGCACGCCTCCGCCGACCTTCAAGAACAAGTGCGCGTTGAGGCCGACGATACGTGCTTGATCCGGCTGCGCCACGTCCGCGAAAATCACATCCACCATACCCACGAGCATGCGGTAGCGGAGCGGGTGGCGAGCATCTTCGATGATGGGGATCACGTTGGTGCGATGCGTCGCCATGGTGATCAGATCTCTTCCAGATCTGTGGGAGAATTCGACGGCGTACACTCGACCGGTGGGGCCGACAATGTCTGCGACGTGCGAGACGGAAGTGCCCGAGGCAGCGCCCAGGTACAGCACTGAGGCGCCGGGCCGGATGTAAATGTCGTCCAACCCTCCCAAGATACCGGCGGCCAACTTCGAGCGGAAGGGGTTCCAGACTCTGTACTCTGTCTTGGTAACCGGAGCATCTCCATCTGCGGCGTTTGTGCTGGGTGAGTCGACGCTGATGCGCTTCTCGCCGTAGACGCTTTCGCCCGGGGTGAGGTTCTTCGTTACGAGCAAGTCTTCCTTCCCGCCGCGTGCGACGAAGACTCCGGGATGTCGGTGGGGCTCCTGTTTTGGGTGTACAGATTTCGTCAGCCATATGGCGCTCTCTCACACTTTCCCATCTCTTTCATTGAATCATGGACGGGAAGATTCTGGTCCGGTCCGTGGAGGGGACATACAATGATGACTTTCGCTCCGCCCTTGATGCCGGGCTTCGCACCACCTCGACCACCACCTCTTCCCCCTCTGGCAGGACCGCCTCGGCCACCGCCTCTGCCACCTCGTCCGCCTGGACCGCCTGGACCGCCGAAGCCTGGAAGATCGAAAAAGAGAGATCCGTTAATCAAGCTGTCCGCGCATTGTTTCGAAGGGTGGAAATCTGCAAATCGAGTTTGCGGACGGGACTTTGTCTCTCACCTCTACCGCCGCCTCGTCCGCCTCTTGCGCCTCCCCTAGGAGGACCTCCTCGGCCACCACCACGACCACCTCGCGGCGCACCGCCAAATGCCATCTCTCTAGTGTGTTTTGTTTGAGGTTCGTTCTGGGGGGGGGTGGGTTGTCGGGCTGTAGCCTCGAAGCTGGTCGCTGAGAAGGAAACGATCGACCGATACGTTATGTGCGCAATACCGATTAGCGATAGAGAACGTTGTAGAATTGCACAAAGCGGAGTTGTGGCTGGGTTTCGACAAAACTGCGATTTTTTGGAGAGGGACGCAGCATCTTTTTCTTTCGCTCATGGAAATTTTGGAGCAGTTGGACCGAAGCGGTTAGATTGCGGACGGCGTGCCAAGGAGGGATTCTATTGGTGGAATGATTGATGCTATGGTTTTGTGCATGGTCCGTGTCTGTCTTTCCTTGATCCGGAGTATTCAGCTCATCATCTCTCACTACCCAACGGCCTTGTCTCTCCTCTGGCTTAGAACCTGCTCGCATTTGCCAACAATATCCAACTGCTGGAGAGATCGACTCTGTGTCTGCTAGACCAGGCCCACCTGGTGATGTGAGAGTGACCACCCGCTAGGGGATGTAGAGCTCGTCCCAGATGCGTCCTTGCTCCCTCAGCTCCTCCCAGTACTCCTCGTCCCGCGCCTCCTGCTCGCCATTCCACGCCGAGATCCCTTCCGCCGAACAATCGAGATCATCCAACGGGACAATCTCCTCCGGGTACACGACCTGCTGGAACTTTGTGCGGGCGCGCCCACCTCTCTTGACAATCATGCTCAACAGCGCCAGGTCGACTTCCATCTCGTTCGCAAAATCACCCGGGTCCGAGGCCCAAAATTCCTCCACCGCGCGATCGAGGCCGCGGAACGTGGTGAGGAATCCGCGCGGCAGATCTTCCAGCCAGCTCGCGTCCTGGAACGGCAGGCCCAGGTCGAACAGCTCGCCTCGTCTCAGGACCTTGTAGGGCATGCGTTGGCGCACGAGTCCATGTACGCAGATGATGTCGTCGTCCGGGGCCAGGTCGGTGTTGATTTCGTCCAGCAGCGAGACTCCTCCGCTCATCAGGTCATTTACGCCGGGGAGGTATTGCTCGACGGGGACGGAGGGCAGGTCCGTGTCGCCGCATCCCTCGCTTTGGGCCGCTTCGCCAGGAGCAGGAGGTGTGACTCTGTCGCTTTTCGTCTCGATTTCTGCACAGTTGCCATCCTCATCGTCGAATGTCAAGACAACTTCCTCTGCCGGGGGTGTTGACTGCTGTGATGCCCTGTCCTCGAAGAAGGTGACATTGCCGTTGCCGCGTGGAAGGCATGAGTGCTCCGTTTCATTTGGAAAGGATGTCTTCTCCGAATTGTCATCCGCGTCACTGTACTCTGAATTGGTCAACATGGTGATGTCGAGAGTGCGCCAATTATTGTCGCCGCGCCGCACACGAGACCGTAAACGAATAAGTCCCTAGAAGTGAGAGCAGGGTGAGTGCAGAAGTCATGTTGGACAGAAGGTGAGGAATGGCGAAAGAATCACGTTATAGCGACAACAAACACCCGCACATGGACTTCCGTGTCTTAAACAAAGGTGACAATTCAGTCAAGGCACCTGTCTCGCTGTCGTTGATCATTCATCCCCTCCTTTGTTGCAACATCTCAGCTGCATCCATGCTTGACACGCGAGACACAAAGCAGGATGCCTCTTTGTTTCTATGCCGCACCCCTGTCCCAGTCTATATTCGCAGATTGACGCAAGTCGAGAAGAGAACGAGAGGAAATCTTTCGCAGTTGCCATTATACCGCACCCTCCCCGTCACAGTTTTGAAGCTCTCAGCGGAATTTTGTCCTTCGGCCACCACCATCCGACAAACCGCTCCAACTCTCGATCGGTCACGCCGGTCTTGACATCGTACGGCTCGCATTTCCCAAGAAATGCCCTGATAGCGATCTCCGCGTCTTCTTCTGCGTCGTAGTTGTACACACTAGTTCCATGTCAGCCAGCGCCCAAGCTTAAGGGAGCGACATATTCAGTTTGAATGAGACATGGAGAGTTGAGCTGACCTCAATGTTGTCACTGGATCTCCGTACAGATTCGGCGAGCGCATGAATTGCTCGCCCTTCAATTCTGGGGCCATAGCTTTATCTCGTGCCTATACAATCTCTCGGATCAGCAACTAACCCGGCAGATTTTTCCTTCGGGTGAGGAAGGTGAGACGAAATAGAGGTGCGGCAAAAGCAATCTACCTCTTGGATCGGACCATCTGGCACCTGCCAAATGGCGCCATTGATAAAAGACACTTGCTGCTTGTAGTACGCTTTGGGCATTCGCGTCTTCTCGTAGATTTCGATGGCTTGGGCGATGGTGATTTTGTCCTCCACAACTCTCGCCAGTGTCCGAGCCAGGAAGGCGCCGTCCTCCATTGAAGTCGCAGCGCCCTGCGCCATATGGTTGGTCATGGAGTGCGCCGCATCGCTAATATGAGTCCGAGAATCAGTATGGCGACCTATAAAGAGATTTCAGACACCGGAAAGCAATATTCATACCCCATCAGCACGATATTCTTCTCCTTGCTCGACCAGCTCTCCAATGGCCCCGTAACCAACAAGGGCCACCTCCTGGCAGAGGTCACCATGTCGACAATCCTCTTGATCCTCGGATCGTAGTCCTTGTAGGTCTGTCGGAAGTCCTTCTCCATGTCAACATCCTGGACATCGTCGACGAGGTGGTCCACGTGGTGGCTCAAAACCATATTGAACTGCTTGCCGCCAGAGATGGGATAGGAGATGATGTACGACTTGTCGGCCATCCAGACTTCCATGGTGAGTTTCTCGATGAGTTCTTTGGCGATTGGATCACGCCGGATCTCGTCATAGGGGACAAGGGCTCGATATGCACAGTTCCCAGTGGGAGGCGCGGGCTTGACGTGAGGCATGAGGGCTTGACGGACGGTGGAACGTACTCCGTCCGCGCCAATGAGTAGGTCGAATATCCATGATTGACCCTTAGCCGTGGTGACTGTAACTTTATTGGAAGGAGACGAGGTCCAGTCGATTTTCTCTACCCGGGCATCGATAACGAGATTGGCGCCCTCGCGACGAGCCACCTCTGCCAGACCGGCGTGAAGATGCATTCGGTGAACTATCTCTTCGTCAGGCTCGACCGCAAGGTTTCAAAAGTGACCTGCTCACCTAACCACCAAGGTACACCACCCAAATAGCTCAGAGATGTTAGCATATACTATGCTTGCGGTTCTGGTGAGATCAAAAGCGTACTTGCGGACATTTGGTATCGTCTTCGTATACCCAATCAAGGTGCCGTCTTTCCTCCTCATGTTCAGCTCCTCGAATTCCACGAGATCATCGCCGATCACCTTGTCCACGCCCCATTTCATGAGTAGTCTGGCCACATTCGGCGTCATTTGAATGCCAGCACCAATCTCGCCCAGTTCCGGAGCAGCTTCCAGGACCGTCACCTTCGCACCGGCTTTCCTGATGGCAATGGCTGCCGCCAGACCGCCGATGCCAGCACCACAGATCCCAACATTTAACTCGGGCATGTTTGGGATTTGCGAGGGGCTGCGGTTGTTCGTTGCTTTGCAAATAACTTGCAAGCTGAGCGAGGACGACGGAGAAGTGGTAAAACTGATGTCAGACAGACAAAGGAATCGAAAGCACCAGGCACAGGAGAAGGGCTCTTCTTTCAAAGTAGTTTCCTAGTTGTTGTGAAGCTAGCAAGTATAAACACCCTTGGGTAGAGGCGTGAGCACGTGGCAGGATAAATAACCAGACAAAAAGCCATGAGAATATCTACATATTTGTCGAGAGCCGTCAAGCACCAGCATGATGATATGGGCCATGTCCCCATCTCCACGTAAGTCTGCAGTCACGAAGGGGCTCTCCGCATCAGCAGGAAATTTCTCGGGTTGATGGACATGGGGAAGAGGTAAGGTGATTGCCCACTGTCGTTGCGAGAAGGCCAATGACGGTGTTGCACTCTCCACCCTAAACGAGAAACCTCGAGGCTGGTCCGGACAAGCTCCGACTCCGGTACATGGGTCCAGCTCGGTGCACTCGTCATATATAACTCCGTATGGCTGCAACGAACTACCGACAGCAGTTCCCGGGTCCCCGGTGCGTGAGCGACGATAGGAAATGGTGCTGTATTGAGAACGGGGCCACACCAGCCACATTCGAGAGAGCACCAGAGGGACCAATTTCGAGAACCCCAATTTGGAGATCTCGAGAGCGCCTCCAACGCGGTGAAGAGCCTTGGCGAAGGCTTGCTTGCACTTCGAGCCTGTTTGACGTCACCACTTGTTGAGATCCCACTCATCCAAGCAGTCTCTATTGCCGCTCGTTTCGAAGATCGCGGATTGCGAGCCTCGCCCAGTACCAGCGCAAGACGATTCGTCGGAAAGCGGTCAGTGAATTGATGCGGCCGACTCTTACGACCGCGCGCCTAGTCCGCAGCTTCAGCCTCTGGCCCAGTCTAAGAGCGCGTGTTCTCCAAATTCCCCTGTTTGGCGCTCCAGGGAAATCGCACCCTCCGCCTCCGCCGCCAGTAGTCAGGGAGGAAAGTATGACCTCTCATTTAAATGGTGAGCTCTTAATACCAGGTTCAGTCGCAGTCTTACTGTGCAGTCTCGGCTAGCCATAATAGCGCAAACCCTACTGATCCAGCGCAGTGTTCAGGCAACCTCTTGCCTTCTTCTCGAACCGTCCTCCGACTGGTTTCTATCGCGATGGGTACTGTAGGACAGGAGCCGCAGACTTTGGCAACCACGCCGTAGCTGGTGTGGTGACGGAAGAGTTTCTGGACTTTAGTGCTTCGCAAGGAAATGACCTGCGGACAGCAGGTCTGACAGGAGGCTGCAAGTGGTGTCTATGTACAGCGAGGTGGCTGGAGGCATTTCAAGCGTACAGAGACGGGAGAATCGGTAGGAATGGTGTCCCGAAAGTGGTGTTGGAAGCAACCGAGGATAGTGCCTTGAGACACGTGGACTTGGATACATTCAGGCAGTTTGCTGCCGAACCGCAGACGAACGGTGTGAATGGTGTGAACGGCGTGAACGGCGTGAACGGGCACTAAGAGATAAGAAACATTCGAGGGGTGGACGATACGGAATTGTCAAAATGTCAGTAGTACCCTATGTCTTGGGAAACAGAGAGTCAACAACTTACGTGGAAAAGAAAAAGAGATGGGCGCCGCTCTCCAGAGTAATCGGAATCGAATTGAAACCCTATCATCCCTCAAGAGGAAATCGATAGGTTTCCGCTGCGATTGCACTAAAGTAAGGAAGGACACTTGCGTGCCCTCCAGACCATCTTCGCAACGGCTCTTCCAAAGGGAATCCCTCGAGACACAAACACCACGCGGATGCCGGCCTTGAGGCCCTGTATATTTCTGATGCCAGATTGCGAGCACAGGGGGAATCGTGCCGGGCCCTCGCGGGCAGTACCATGTACCTCGACATCACAGAGTGATTCGAAGGCAGAGGTGCAAAGTTTGAAGATTACTCCGAATTTCTCATCTGCAAGAAAGAAAACGACTGCTCGACTGTTGGAGAAACAGGAGCAAGTCGTTATATGTGGCAGAGAACGCAGCGGATGGAGAGCGGCGCACAAGAGAAGAGGAAGAAGAAGACGAAGCCGATTTGTTTTTTGGTGTTGATGAAAACCATAATCCAGACTCACAATTATTCTGCCGCGTCTCACCGCCTGGGCCGTGGCTGCGCTAGCACGTGACCGAGATCGAGGTCAGCCACCGAGACCATCACCGTTGTTTGCCTTCATGTTTGAAGGAGCACTCATGTTTAATTTACTAGATGGGGCCAAAAGTACGGAATGTGTACATGGTGGGACCCTGTGTGTATTACATGCTGTTTTCATTCCCATGGACTTGCTCGTAGCATGCGCCCATGATAGGCGATCAAAAGCAGTAGATGGCATCCATCACGCTTCGAAGCGCAGACCTGTGAATCCTTCTCCAGAATTCATATTCATCGCCATCAGCGCGCAGATAACGCGCAGAAGACATGACTGAATCAATTATTTCAGCACTGGAAAATGGTGAGACCCCAACATCCAGCCATATATTTCCCAGCTATGCCGAGTAGCCAAACCGGGTGAGAGTCGCGAAGAGGGTGCGGGAGTAGATGCCAATGGGTGATTGACCCAGGGCACACATATTGGACTGCCACGAGTATGCTGGAGGCAGGGAATAAGCAGAAATGGTGATATTGGAGGTTGCGGTCCGCAGTAAGTGAGAGGGACGCGACCATCAGACCACCATTCTGACGTGGGTGCCCGGGCCCCCAGTCGGCATGCACCATGATGGATGCCTTGCAGTTTGAAAACAGGGCCCATGATGAAAGGCCGGGAAGGACATCGCTCTGGAACTTTTGAGGCGTGGTGTCCAGCAAAGACAATGCGCGATGTCTCAAGACTGAGCATCAACGCGATAGAATCCGACTCGTATCCTAGCGCCAACGCCACAGCGCCCTTGCTCGCCAACCCTGACAATCATAGCTGCGCCGTATGGAAGAAGGACGACGTTGCCGAAGGGTAAAGTAATGATAAATGAGCGCGTGTTTTCCGGTGTCATGCATATCGACTCCACAACTCAGCTTTTGCTCATTTCTTCTTCGATATGCCGTGTTGTCTCACTTATAATTCGATCCTTGTCCTGGGGGAGGACCACCCCATCCCTGCGGAGGTCCTTGAGGAGGCATCATAGGTCCCTGACCTTGCATCGAGCCGACGTCGGGTCGATTTCTGGATTTCAAGTTAGATTGCCGGAATGACTTAGGCGCATGATCATTGTGGTCGTCGTACCTCATATCTTGACGGAACCTGCAAATCGAGCAGGCTATCTAGACTCTTGGTTAGCACGCCAACCACATGGGTCGGATGGAGTCGTTGAACGGACTTCTTGGTGCCTCCGTCCTAGCGGGATAACTGGGACAAAGCAGAAGGTGAACCAGTCCCATGATTGAATTGGATGCGCCGACCAGTTTCCGCAGTTGTGACACTGAGCAGTCACTCCTTCGTAGCCTTTCAAAGGGCTTGTAAAGTCTAGTTGAGGAAAGCCAGTTAGCGGGCACAGTTCGCGCAAAGGCAGAGGCTCCAGTTCGAAGCTAGCTCACCTTTGGTGCCGACGACGAAGAAAAAAGCCATGGTTGTCGAACAGTGCTTGGACGACTCGATACGAAATAATAGTGTTTGACGAGAGCAATGTAGGAGAAGAGAATTAGATACAACCTGCGGAACAGAGCGGCAGCAGAGGATGTGTTTTTGTGCTCTGGTGATTGATGAGGCGATGCAGGGCGCATGACGAGACACTGACGCGCAATTCAACGGAGCTTGCGCGACTTGGCTCTGGCCTCGGCCATGGCGCCCAGATGCTGCTCCAAGGTATTTTGTGTACGAGATATGCGAGGTAATACTCCCACGCTCCATATGGATTCTGGGTTCTGTGGAGCTGCGAGGACCGCGAACATTTGCTAATATTCGTATGCACTCCACGCAGTTTCTGTGGCTGCGCATCCCACCATAATTGAGACGGTGAGACCAAATGCGGTCAATGTGACCAGCAACAACCACCGTCCTTCCTTCATCCTGCTTCCTTTCATTCACCGCAGGCTCTGTCAAGTCCGTCAGTATCATCATGGCCATCAATCCTGCCTCGAAACCACAGCACTTCATGGAGCTCACTCAAAATCCTCATCACCACCACCGCGTGCTCGCCCACGACCTCTACCAACCCATGCCCAATCCTCACCTCCTACACGGCGAGGCTAAGAGCTCCGCCGCTTCCGCAGCCTTGCAGAGCGATGAAGCTATGATCTCCCGCCACCGAACCGCCTCGACCTTTGACACCGAGAGCCAGTCTCCTACGCATACCTCCCCGTCTGATCCTTTAGACCTCACTCGCCGTCTCAAATCCCGGTCGGAGCTCGACCATATCACGGCCAACACTGCCCGGAAACGGAATGCTTGCAACCCGCTTCATTTGGCGGGGCAATCCCAACAGTCCAAGATCACAAACTTCTACGAGTCGCAGAATGAACAGATCGAGAGGCTGCTGAAGCCCGTAGATGAGCATGTCAGAGAAGCAAGAGACACGCAGACATCGACCCAGCTACGCTTCCAGATTGCCGTGTACGGCTCGTTTGTGGCGAACATCATTCTTGCAATTCTACAGGTCTATGGTGCCGTTAGTTCGGGCTCTCTATCCCTATTCACAACCATGGCGGACGCAATATTCGACCCCTTGTCCAACATTACACTTATATTGTCCAACAAAGCGGTCAATAGAGTCGATGCGCGCAAATTCCCCGCCGGCAGAGCACGAATAGAAACAGCCGGAAACATCGTGTTCTGTTTCCTTATGACAGCTGTCTCCTTCATCCTGATCGCTTTCTCCGTACAGGAGCTGGTGAGAGGCTCGAATGAAGACACCAAGAGATTCCATCTCCCGTCTGTTGTCGCCGTGGCTGTTGCATTTGCCACGAAACTCGGGCTGTTCCTGTATTGCTGGGCACTCAGGAATCAATACTCCCAAATTCGCATTCTGTGGGAAGACCACCGCAACGATCTGTTCATCAACGGCTTTGGTGTGTTGACGTCGGTGGGCGGGAGCAAGTTGCGTTGGTGGATAGATCCGGCTGGCGCAATTGTTCTCTCAGTCTTGATTTCCGTCCTGTGGCTGCATACTGCATACTCGGAGTTCCAGCTCCTCATTGGTATATCCGCTGACACCGAGACACAACAACTTATCACCTACGTCTCTATGACACACTCGGAGCACATTAAGCATATCGATACCGTGAGAGCATGGCACAGTGGACCGAGATTGGTCGTGGAGGTGGATGTCGTTATGGACCCTGACGAGTCCCTGAGAGTGAGCCACGACATCGCCGAGGACCTGCAGATGAAGCTGGAGAGTCTGCCCAACGTAGAGAGAGCGTACGTCCATGTGGACTACGAGTTTGAGCATCGGCCAGAGCATTTCTTGAAAAAGGAGTTATAGAAAGGTGAAACCAAAAAAACCGGATGGGAGGCTGTATACATGTGGTGCATTTGTTTTTGGAGTGTATCTTTGAGGGTAGTTCAGACGGCTCCGACCTAGACAGCGGGTCAGGAGCCTTGAGGCATATTTGGTTGGACACGATTCATGACAAGACATTCTCCATCTCGTGGACGGGTAGTCGAGCCCGTATTTGTCGGGATGTGGTGTATAATGAAGATCACCAATTCTTCTCCCTGTTCCTCTCTCGTGCAATCCCCTCTTAACAACAATGCATATGGCCCTCTTAACTTCCCATCTCTGCGCTTCCCGAGTTAGCGGGCATGGTGTTTGGTTTGCACGGCCGCTTCTCGGGCCTCCGCTGGCTGACTGCTCTGAAAGGGAGATGAGAGGCAGGCGGCGTCTTTGCGTACCTCACAGCCGGCAAGATCCAAGGTCTCGTCTGCCCTCGTCGGCATTTGTCGCCAATCCACGCGCAAAGACGCATCCAGCCCAACCCATCGCGGTTTCAAGCAGGGACAGACAGGCTACACAAAGTGTTTGTGTACGGGGCCTCGAACGCTGCTGAGTTCTTCTCCTCCCTGTGGCCGCGTCCACTGTGTTGTGAGGACCCAGAACCCGGGACACAGTCTCGGTGGTGGTCTAGTCTTGGGACAAATGGTCCAGGACGCATGTGGCGGGCAGCCGAGTGTGGCGCCCACCTAGAAGCGATACCAAAGATTATGTCGTGATCTATGGCGGTGGCTCCGGCGACTTTCAAAAGGGGTGGGCATGAGCCCCGAACTCGCATGTTCACGGTATCTGGTCCGCTACCTTGCTGGAACACATGAGTGGGCGTTCTGTTCCAGGTTAGTTGGAAATGTACACACACACACACACACACGTGGATACTAGTAGAATGGATAGACACATACATACCTCCCAGAAGAACAGTCATTGGGTGTGTTATGTTTTCGCTTTGGGGCTGCGTGACCAGCGCGAGATGGTGGGAAAGGGGAAGCTCCAGATTTAGCGCCCGTAACTTCTGTAGCAAAGTACTTCTCACACACTTGTACCCAGTGCGAAAGCGCTTGAGGCCTCGACTTCATCCCACAGCTCGACCCCGTCGGCGTCGTTGGTGGCAGGCAGCCACAGGAACTCGAGCAAGACGTCGTCCCTGAGGGCGGTCCAGGAATCAATCCGCAACATCCGCCGGCAGCGGTCGACGAGGCGCACGTACCAGGAGCGGGTACCGTTGTCCAGGCCCTGGGCGGCAACACCGCCGATGAAGGCGGTCCAGAGCACGAGATCCGGCGCCTCGGACCACGCCCTGCCGAAGTCGCAGCGCGACAGGCACAGCCTGATGCGGCTGGCCAGCAGCTCGAACGGCGCAGCGGGCAGCGGGAAGACGCAGAGCATGCCGTACGTGAGCGCGGCCAGCTGGCAAGTGTAGAGCACCTCCGCCCCGGTAGGACGCGCCTCGTTCACGTCTGGGGTCAGCGACAGGATCCCGTGCATCACGAAGCATCTCAGCTCTTCCAGGATCGCGAGACTGGGCGCCTCGGGCCGCGCTGCGAGGTAGTCGTCCACCGCCAGCGTATACTGGCTCAGACCCCTGAGGGCAATCTGGAGATCCCGCGACTTCGGCGGGGCGTCGAAAAGGCCCAGGGCAGAAAACCCCCGACCGAGTCGGCCGAGGGGATGATCCGCTCTTCGAACACGCGCCAGAGCGCTCTCGAAGTTGACGCCGAGGCAAGGAGCGAAGGGGAGTCGAGGCCTCTGGACCGTGCGGCTGGCAAAGATGAGGTCGGCACTAAGTTGCAAACCCAGAGTCAACTTCCCTTTCTGCATGCTCTATCAGGTCTCTCAACACTTACTAGCAAAGAAGGCCTCCTAGCCCAGGCAATGTAAACTTCTCGATCCCGCCGCGGAGCTCGATCATTTTCAAAAGCCCTTCTCTATGCATGGATGCAGCTTCTAAGGGCCCGCCGTACAGATTGAGTAGGCGTAGAGAGTTCAGAGGTCCTTGCGCCGGACTCCGCGGCCGGTTTGGCTGAGGCCGAGAGTCGAGCGTCATGGAATGGTAGGCAAGAGTGAAGACGGCGAGCAGGGTGCTGTCGTTGCAGGCCGTCGAATAGTTGGACAGAGCCGTGTTGACATATGTAATGGTTTCGGAGTAGGAATGAAGTAGCTGACGTTCAGCTTTCCGGTCCAAACAATGCCTGTGCTTGTTCCTCATGAGCTGGGAAAACGTGTATGCATAGAGAACGCCTGAGTCGGACATGATCTTGCGGACCCATGTTGCAGCAAGCTCGTTCTTCCCGGAGCTGTTGGCGGGCAGTGCTTGGCTGAAGGTCTCGTACAGTTGACTGAGGAGAAACCTGACCTCGTGCTCTGAGAACAGGACTAACCGGGGTAATGGCACAGGCAGGGCCAGAGTCAGTATATCAAGGGGCGTGGGAGAAGACAGGGCGAGAAGCATTTGAGCGTGTCCCGCGTCCTCGTTCGGCTCTTGCTGCTGCTCGTCCCAACAGAGAGGTGGGTAGACCGGCATCAATGCAGCCTCATGATTAGTGAGCAGAGACTGGGATCTGTAGTGCCCTTCCAGATATGGCAAGACACAGTGGCCTGTGGTTGGCGGATGTATTCGTGGTGTAGGGTCGCCAGCGGTTCGCACAGGGCCAGCAGCGCTTGAAATGGTGCCTTTACGCCAACGCAGCCTTGATGCATTCGCCCTAACCGCGCTACGAGATTGAGCCTTCTCGCTTTTCGTCTTGGGATACCCAATGATAAAGGTGGGTGAAGGCCTGGGCGATGTCTTGTTAGCGGATCCGGGGCCCGTCATTGAGCAGAGGACGCGGCCACATCAGATGGGCCAGCCTAGTGGCCTCGATCCATGCTCCATCAAGGATATTGCCAGTTTTCTCTATTTGTGGCATGTGAATGCCAAAGGACGCGACAAAAGGGACCGCTTACATGGCTTTCGGCAGCAGTTGAGGCCGGTCCGGGCTTTGGGCTGGTGGTCGGGTCGACTCCTCCGTGGCGCTCCTTGTTCCACTGCCCCATCAAGTTTCATATGCGTGCGATGGCCCAGCCAGTTCCGATTTGGGGTATTTGGATGTCGACATGTCTGTCTTGGGCCAGAGATGCAGAAGGGTTTCGGCATCGAAGCAGGATTACTATCAGATGACTAGCAGCAAAAACCAAAAAAGGAAATTGTCTGACGAGCAAGATTTACTAATTTCCATATTTGGGACACCCAGATCCCCAGTAAGACTTAGGCAAAGAGCGCTTCTATGTGTTGCTGAATGATATACCTTGTAAGCACAAGCGGCCCCGGAAACAAGACCACGCTCAAAATTCATGGAATAGTACCGAGTACATCTTCTCCTTTGATTCTTGGAGCGATCACTAGCGTCTGCAGTGTTTAGCAAAGCACCGGATACTAACACTTCAAGGCTGGAGCACCCTCAGAAAACGGCAGCCTGCCCGACAGCAGCTACGCGAGAACCAACGGAGGAATCGTAGACCACGCACCGTACGTTTTAAGGCCCATCTTGAGGCGCTCCAGGCTATGGGCGTTGAGGAAAGGGAGCATGGATGCTTTCTGTGGCGGGCCGGTACAATAAAGCTAAGACCCAGTCTACGGTCTTTACGGTTAGACCACCTTCGCAGCTGGGAATAGTCTGTATTAAGACCAGCATAAAGATTTGGTCAGACGACGAGAAACCATAACAGCTTACACGAGATAAGTACGTACACGACATCAAGCTGAGGCAACAAGGGGACAACGCAGGCGCGAGCTTCGGACAAAAAAGGATTTTAGTATTGATGTAATAGATCTGGATACTGGTGCCAGTATGTCAAACGACTAATTTAGCAATATACACAACCAGGCAAATACTTTTGACCTGGAAGACTCTCTTGGTATCAGTATCGCCCCCTCATACAACCCAACCACATCGCAGCGCATTATGCAATCAAGACCCCATCTGCATGTCACTTGAACCCCGTTCATTGCACCCAAGCCAGAATTGCAGTCATTCTTTTCATGGACATCGTAGATCGACCCAAAGCCCTGCACGAGGCAAGCAGCAAACGAAACCCCGTGCATCAACACCAGTCCCCTGTTTCGGAGGACAATTGAATGCAATTCTCCCGTCTCGCCCAACCCGTTGTCGAAATTGAGGCGCCATAGGAGTGAAGAAAAGTGCCAAGAATCAAGCATCGCCTGTCGCGGTCCAAGACTCCGCCCAGCCGGGTTAGAAGAAATCCAGAACGTCCACCCAGTCACGAGAACCTTGAACTTGAAGCCGGGGAGTAGAGGAGAACTCGACATAAAGAACAGTGTAAGGTAAAAGCACCCACAGCCCACGCCTTCCAATCCTCAACCTCGGCCAAGGTGAAGACCCAGCTATCTCTGCTGGAACTGCATGTTTTGCTGCTGCTGTTGTTGCTGGTGTTGCTGTTGTTGTGCCGCCATCACCTGCTGCGCATGTTGCATTTGCATCTGCTGCATATGTTGCGCCTGTTGTTGTTGCAACATCGCCGCCATGTTCGGATTCACTCCCTGCATATTCTGCATGTTCATCATGGCATTCTGCATTCCCCCTCCCTGTTGTGCCATTTGTTGTCGCGCTTGAGCTTGTTGCATTTGCGCCATCTGATTCATGGCCGCCTGACGCTTCTGGATTGCTGCCTGTGCGTACCTGTGAGCTTGCACCTGTACCTGTTGCATTTCCTGCGGTTGAAGCATTTGCACGTTCCCGCCATACTTTTGAGCGGCTTGCTGCGCGAAACGTTGTGTGTAGCTCTGCAGAGTCTGCTGGAATAGCTGTTTGAGTTGGGGGTCTACCTGTGGTCGTTGTTGGGGATGAGGTGCACCTTGTCCCATCATCTGTCCCTGGGCCTGGGCCTGGGCTGCTTGCATCATTCGTTGCTGTTGTTGGGCATGAGCTAGCTGAGTCGCTTGCTGTTGAGGAGTCATTTGATTTGGCGCTGGCGATCCGTGATTTTGCGCTTGCTGCAGGCTCTGCATTTGGGCCTTGACATGCTCGGCAACAGATTGGTTGTACGCCTTCTGACTCTGGGCAGGATTGGGGGACATATGTGCGCTTTGTGGAGTCCCTTGCTGTTGCTGCTGCTGCTGCTGCTGTTGCTGCTGTTGAGCGGCTTGGCGAGCCATTGCAGCCTGCCGATCTACCTGTGCGTGATGTTGTGCCTGCATATGCGCCACTTGAGCAGGGGACATTTGCGGAGTTCCGTTGACCATTTGCTGGTGCATCGCTACTTGCTGGGCTTGTGCGGCAGCCTGTTGCTGCAGGGCATGGCGGCGTTGCATCTCAGCTAGTTGTCCAGGATTCATCTGCCTGGGCACACCGTTCGGCATCTGCGCTGGCATCCCCGGCATCATCCCAGCAGCTACCATTTGTGGGGTAGCCCCATGAGGGCTGCCGTGTGTAACGGGCTGTGCAGGAGTATTCTGTCGCATGATTGGAGTGGCATTCCTTTGAGCAGGGGTACCATGTGGTATCTGTGGAGTACCATTTCGACTTGGCCCTTGGGTACTGGGGGCCCGGGTCATAGGTGCACTGGGGTGTCCGTGCTGTACAGCCGATCCCGGTCTTGGCGGAGAACCGTGCCCCTGCTGTGAACCAGATATCGCCATGGGCACGCCGCCTTGAGCAGCGCTTGTGACAATAGGTGAGGACGCTGCATGTGGAGTTCCTTGACGGATAATGGGCGAGCCCCTCTGTTGACCGGCTATAATTTGGTTCTGCATGTTCGGAGGTATGCCGTTGACCTGTTGAGAGGGGGGCCTTTGAGCCACTTGCTGGACCTGCTGTTGCTGGGCCTGCTGCTGTAATTGCTGCTGTAGTTGCTGCTGCTGCTGAGCCTGCTGAGCCTGTTGGGCAGCCATTGCCGCCGCCATTTCTTGCTGACGAGCTCGCAGCATTCGGGCTTCCTGAGCACGTTGCATCATGATTCGCTTCTTCTCCTCTTCTTGGATCCGTTCTTGCTGGCCTCTTCTATTCTCATCTTCTTGGAGTTGCCGTTCTTTCTCACGCTGCTTACGCTCGGCAATCTCGCGCTTGATACTATCAAGAGCATTAAATTTCTCGAAACGAGGTTGAAAGAGAGCCGCGGCCGCTTGACCATCCACTCCAGCAGCATTTGCGGCGCCATTGGTACCCGCAGTACGCTCGTCCATAATGAGCATGAATCGTTCCTGCTCCTTCGCATGCGCATCATCTGCCGCAAGTTCAGCAACTGTCCGCTTCCGGCTCTTGGGTGATGGTGGTCGCTGGTCGTGAAGAGGATCCTTCAGCATGCCAAGAAGGGTTTCCGCTTCGTCCAGACTCTCAACAGGCTCTAGATACAAGGGAGGGGCCGTCGCATTGACCACTCTCCCTTCATATTCAAGCATATCCTTAGGATCGATCTTCAGCTTTATCTTCTTGAAGGGTGGGCCTTTTTCACTCGAAGGTGTCGGTGGGATGGCTGATATCGGAGTTTGCGGAGCCCCAGCTCCGGGCGCACGGCTGTTTACGTTTGCTTGTGATTGCTTCCGATTCAGTGATTTCGGATCTGGCGTCATGGCATCAATGACTAGATCCATGTGCCGGGACAAGATTGTGGGCCGCAATGCGACGTGATAGACCTTCGGTTGCGGTTTCGATGATTTTGGCACAACATCGATTGTATCGTCGGAACTGGGAAGCGCCTTGCCGTCACTCCCCGCCAGCTCATTTTTTAGGGGAGGAGACTTTGCAACGGATTGTTCCTTCGGCGGGTATGGTGCGTAGGGCGAAGGAGTAATGTACTGGTTGTAATTGTGGATGGAAAATGGTCTTTCGTCATCTGCACCGCCTCCCGAAGCCGCAGCATGCTTTGCAACTGACTTGTGGTCGACCACCCGGACAATGAGCCAGCCATCGTAGTATTTCACCTCGGACTTCCGAAACTCTTCTACCATATCATGTGGAATCGTGCCTCTGGCCAGATGTTCAATAAAGACACGCATCTCGGAGTGGTAGCTGAAACTACCATCCTGCTGATCGAACCGAAAATGCGTAGGGTGAAGATGCACGATAAGAGAAGGCGCGCAACCTTTGAACTTGCGGAGGATGTGGGATTCTTTGGGAACTAGAGCGCGCGATTTGTCAGTGTTGCTTTCTCAACAGCGCGAAACTGCAAGAGCGTACCATGCGGCTCCGGGTATTTCTTAGAAGCCCGTTTATCCAAAGATCCACCATCAGCCGTGCTGTTTCTCGTCGTCAGGCGCTGGACTCGTCGGTTCGGTCGCGCGACGGTATTTGCCACGGCGTTGTTATTGGTAGCAGATGTTGGCGTCGCGTTCTGTCCAGGGAGAGTCTTCCTCGCACTGGAAGGGGACGAAGAGGGCGCCGTGGGCTTCACACCGTTCAGATTTGTCTGGACCATAGGCGCAGGAGGTTTCTTCATCTTGGTCGCCGTCCCTGCGGGCTTCGCCATGACCGCGGCCATGATGGCGTTGATCCGGACGCGATCGAGTTTCACGGTCTCCCATGCACTAAGGTCGTTACTCCGAAGGAGATGAAACTTCCTCAAAAGCTCCTCGGCCGTGATGCGACGCAGTTGGGCAAACGCGCATCATGAGGGGCAGAGGTCGGTCGTGAATTACTTCGGAGGGGTTCCGGGGCTATAATGACTCGATCTCTGCGGTTGGCGGGTTCAAAGAGTCGCAGAGGTCAAGCAAATAGGGTATATAGGGTCAGAATAGATGAAATCCTGACTATGGGGGTTGCGGGTGATACCCAGTGCCATCATGGTCGAAGTCGCATTAAGGTCAGAATACCCATCTCTTGGCATACACCAGCTCACGTGCCCGGTCGCTTTTTAGCAATGCCGCTTTAAAATCCCCAGAGTCCCCAGGCCGGGCCGAAACAAACTTCCAACGTCGTTCTCTGACTCTCCAGGTCCGGTTCACGACTTCTGGGACTTAGAACGGATTCAACTTCTCTGTTCTGACTCGACTCATGGTCTAAACATCAATTGCTGCAAAGCTTTCCTGTGTACAGAAGTGAATAATCCTTCTACACCTGGGTACAAACGAGCAAGACCATTGGTAGCGAAATCGTGGGGTAACCGATGTCCCAGTTTCAAACCGTCAATGGTATCTGTTCCCCAGAATCCTGAGATATCATCCAGGGGCCTTTGCCGATATCCTCTGGGTACCTCAGTTCCAAGTGTTTCTTATGGAAAGCTCGCACTCAAAGCGTGCTTGTGCCTCCAGCCAGCCTCTGTGGTAGACAACATCAAGTGGCGTTGTTGGAAGTCTTAACTGGTCACTGCACTTTAGGGGGCTCAGGCAGCGCTTTTAGATAAGAGATTTGAGTCTATTCAAGGTCCTTGCTTTTGACACGACCATGCCAAATCCTGGTGGATTATATCGCGGATGCAGTGCCTGTCGCACTCGCAAGGTCAAAGTCAGTATGACCAGCTGGACTTCCCTCAGGTGACTTACTTGTCTCGACAGTGCGACCAGACATTTCCGTCGTGTCGAAGATGCCTCAAATCTCGGGTACTCTGTCCAGGTGTACCTGCAGTTGCAGACGTCATGTTCCGCCACGAGACATCGAAAGTTATGTATAGAGCAACCCAAGCAGAGAATCGCGCCCACAGCTCACTTCCTCCGGACCATAGCCAGGACCACTACCAAAAATGCTGTGACTCCGCAATGACGAATACTTATTCAGCCCTGGAGTTCTGCGATCCCTTCAGCCCTTGTGATATCGATGTACGGGTCAACGAATTGTCGGGAGAACTTTCGACTTCGAGCGTCCTGTTAAGCTCATGTGACTACCAGAATGACCCGAGGAGCTTCCTGGAAACCACACCATCTCTTTCTATATCAAGTGAGTTGAAATTGTCGAAGACGGAGATAATGACCCAGTATTTCTTTGAGCAGCTTGTCATGTCTGGGACGTGGCTTTCCCTCTTGCCACAACTATACATACGCTCCTGTGAGAACAGTGCATTGAGACACTCCATACGTGCGGCTTCGCTCTTACTACTGGGAAATCAAGCCGGTGACCATGGTGCGATTGGCTCCGCCCGCAAGTTTTACGGCCGGTGTTTGAATCTACTGAACGTTGCCCTCGACGATGATGCCCAGAAATTGAAGGATGAGACCTTCTGTACGGTTCTCGTTCTTCACTTGATCAGCGTCAGTTTTGATCTTTATGATGACAGAGAAATCAATGGCTGAGCTTTGACGAAGGATATTGCAGGGGAGCGCTCGGTCACATCCGGGTCGCACCTGAGAGCGTGCAAATCCCTCCTCTTGCAGCGAGCATCTCAACAGTATTCTGCCTCAACCAATTCTAAGGTCGCAAATTCTTTGGTTATTCAAGCTGTAGGTTTGGCCTCTCGAATCTTTTTCCAAGACTGCTCACAGATGCCGCAGCAAGCTTATGTTCTGAAGCACTATCCGGAATGGTCTGAGCTGTGTGAGGAACAAGTCTGTCATCGCGCTTCTGCAGAACCCGCGGCAGAAATCTTACGCTGCTGCTTGGCAATCGGGAAATTACGAACCTCAGTCGAGAACCTATCCAACGTACTAGTTGGGTCTGCTACCAATATCCAGATGGTGTGGCTTGACGCTTTACAGGGAGCAGAAGAGATTGACCGACGATTTGAGGAATGGGAGAGAAGCCTGACTGGTCGGTGGCTTCCAATGACGACAAGCCACAGCCTTTCAGATGTGCTTGACGCCACTATGGACTTTTACAACGATATCCAGGTTGGCAAGGTATGGAACCAGTATCGATGTGCTCGTATTGCTCTTCATGAGCTCATCATTGAAATTGTGGAGAATGTGGTCTATATTTGTCCCTCTTCCAGACAGAACGTGGTACCAAAGGTCAAGCGATCCGCCCAGACTATCACCAACATGTTGTCTGCGATATGCGACAGCATACCTTTCCACTTGCAAAGAGTCGACTCGAGGGGCCAACTGGTAACTCAAACGGCGCAAAGAGTCCTAGGTGGAGAGCATCTTTTGTGGCCGCTAGATGTCGTTCTTCACAGCCGCTGGAGTAACAATTCACAACGAACGCAGGCGCACAAAACACTTGAGGAGATTGGGACATCTCTCGGCCTGAAACAAGCGTCGAAGACGATCCAACGAGAGCAGGAAGCCCACATCACTCTTACGGAAGAAGACTTTTATACAGAGTTTCCGGCTGTGAGCTGGCCAGCCTGTTGATTCAGTGAAGGCAAGCTGCGCGGCATGACTGGAATATCATCACAAATGTGCTTTACGATCTTTCAGCACCTCCTGTATTGTCTGAGCATTAAAAGCTGTCGTACTTGACGATATGACAAGTGTACTTATGTACCGGATTTACATTCAACTACTACCATCGTCTTGGCAGAAACTCCCCCGGTTCTGCCCCAAGCCCATGCTTTTCTTAACCCCAGTCACGAGAAGAGTACATCGCTTCAGTGTGGTCATCTTCGACAAATTGCTGATAAAGTCCAACGTACTACAACCCTGTCAATGCCATCATGTAACACAAGTGTATTCACTCTGGGTCGGACGATCTCTCTAACTCCTCGCCACCATGATGTGCCCGCATGGGTAATTTTGTCACTGTTCGTCGCCTATACCTGCAACTCTTGAGAGTTTGGAGATCACCCTCTGCACCATAATGACAAGGTCTATGCTGTGTGGTCAGGGCTAGCGGCAGTGGCAGAGAAGAATAAAGTTCATCAGCTACTGCTCCATTTCTGCCACCTCATGTTCACTTCTGCCACTCTCAATAGATCATCGATCTTTGGAATGTGCTTCGATTGAATGACGACTTATTGAGGGATGGCACGCGGGACTTTCGCCCGGTTTCCGCGCGTTGGAAGCTTGTACACTGGAACGTCAAAACCTCACTCGCTGAGCAGGGCTGAGGCCCCTGAGGCGGAGAGTCCACTTGGCCCAATCAAAGAACCGAGTTACCCGGTACGCTAGCCTCCTTCGGCCAATCTCTCTTTTCCACCCTATTCCCGGCAACCACTCCTGATCCTACTCGTAACGGAGTGTCATCAAAATCCCCACTTGTACGCATGCATCCATAATTTTCCAAACCTCAGGTCGAAATGATCGACTCAACCTACAGCTTATTGTCGCGCGCTTTCAACTGCCCCGCAATCGCTGTCCCGGCAATTCGGCCAAAAGTCAGAGAGCGAAGTACCGTCGTCATAGGGGGATACTGTATGTCAATTCAGAAACGCTGCTTCGAAGAGCACTGCGGACCATCCAACGTACCTCGTGATAGAACGCTCCTGTGAGCTCTCCAGCGGCATACAATCCCGGGATTGGGATGTTATTTGCCGCGACGACCCGGGATTCAAGGTCGGTCTTCAGACCTCCGTAGGTAAAAGTGAGAGTTGTCTTCAACGGGAACCCATAAAAGGGTGGTGTTGCAATTGGATTCGCCCAGTTGGTCTTGTTAGGCGACAAGCCTGTCGTGGCTTTGCCGTCAAACTTCATGGTATCCCATGGCTTGTCGTTGCACGCCGCGTTGAACTCCTGGACGGTGCGCTCCAGCTTCGCGGGCTCCAGCCCGAGCTTTTCTGCCAGTGTAGCAATGGTCGGTGCCTCCTCAGGATCAAGATCTGTGGTTTGATAGACCCAGCCGGGACGAAACTTATCAGAGACAGGCCTGTCGAAGATCAAGTACGCTTCATTGTTCTGGTCACGCCAGGTTTCCAGGGCAATCATTTCAAATGTTGCGAACAAATGTCGTTTTCCTTCATCGTAAAATCGCTTGCAATCGCCATTAACCACTATACCATAACAGTGGCCCCAAATCACTGCATCCGGTTTGCTGGTTCGAGCATCGACAATCTCGCTATGGATGCCGTCGAAAGCGCCAGAGGTTGCGGCACCCACTTCCATAGCCATGCGAAGGCCGGCTCCACGGTTGTGCACGAGGCCTGGCGCAATAAGGGGAAGGGCCTGGGTCCGAGGCCCGACGTACTTTGCCAGCATCTCTTGGTTTCCTTCGAAGCCACCACAGGCGAGCATTACGTTTGACCCAAGAACGTCATAGAGACGACCATCGGTCTTTCTGACTTTTACTCCGGTCACCTCTCCTGTGTCGCTGGTGAGCAGCTTTTCGGCTTGTGTCTCCCACATAATGGTCAAGCCATCGTGCTCTTTCATGTGGTTAAAATAGTTTTGCACAATGGCATATCCACCGCCTTCTGGGGTGGCATAGTATTGATCTGTGTCGAGTTCAAGTAACACATTCTTCTCTTCTATGGTTTCGCTGTGTAGTCAGCAATTCACATAGCCCTTCATCACGTAGTCAATGGGACACGGGAGGTCTGTGATGCTTACTATGGTGATTGATCACAACTCCGTGCTCGAGGAGGTACACCATAGTCTTGGGAACCTCCAGATACATCTTTGCGCAATAATCTCTGTCGTGCAGACCTTGGCTGACTCTGTCCATCTCATTGATCCAGGCGGGATCGAGATTGTTGTCTTTGTCAAGCCTAAGGTAAGCTGATGTCCAGCGTGACGCGCCACACCTTTCTCCGTCTTTGCCGCTTTCCACGATAACAACTCGTCCAGGTTTCTTCTGAGCTTTGCAGGTTTCCAGAAAAGCTAGAGCCGTGGCGGACCCAGCAAAGCCAGACCCGACGACAATAAGATCATATTTGTCTTCTGACATGACGAAAGACCCAACAGTTCTTTCGTAAAGTCACGGATTCCAATCTGTAGGGCAAATTTTTCAATGATAGTAAAGTGTACAGTGAAATGCAGAGCTACAACTTATATGCTCTTCGCCTGACCCTCGGCATGGTCTTATAAACCTTTTCCCGCTCCCACTTTCGCAGGCAGCAACGACAATCTCCAGAACGTACAAAGGTATTCGGGTCCAGGTTTGCAGGTTTGAACAACTCATTTCTCTTCAGTCGCTTGCCGAACGCGGGGTTCATGCAGAAATTGGTCCGTGCTCTTGAGAGGTTCTGGGGTACTCCAAAGATCAATCGAGATACCGAAGTGGTAACTTCATCAGTCTGCAGCCTTGGCCTCTAGAAGAGGCTAGGTTACCGAGCAGTCAGAATGTGAATCCTCTTGTAGCCACCATCTGTTTGGCTGAACCCATTTTCTCCTGAGGTTACACATACCAATGCGCCGAGTGACAGGTGCAAAGGACAGAAACTCTCCAGGAAATGGGGCCATCCTCCACCACAGCCGCCAGAAAGACATTGAGGCGGCCTACAAGTCTCACCAGAAAATGCTTAGACGGGTACATCGTAGAATGTATGGCAAATCAGAGCATTGCAAGGATTATTTACGCAACGAGTTAGACTACCGAGAGCCTACTTTGGTCTCGGGCCATCTCGCACCAAGACACATTCCCGAGCTCGCTTATAACAGAACCGGTTAGGCACCCTAGAACTGGCGCAACAATCCTACGAGTGTGCTTGGAATTTTCTCCTCGGTTGATGGAATTTGACTAGGCAATGCAAGGCAGTCTACCAGTCCCTACGAGTTGAGCAGTCTTGGGGGCATTGGTGCAATGTGTCATGTTCCACGGATTTTGGGAGACTTTGGCAATCTGGTAACTCCACACAACTTGGGCAGGAAAATCCTGTAGCCACTACTTCTACTCTCCACAGCTTTTCGCAGCACCTTCCGAACAGCTGGAGAGAAGAATGTTATATATGTATTTCTGAAGGTCCATTACATGATATGACCATTATCGACAGCGTTGCAGCTCGATAACCTTGGTTTCTCAGGGTTGCAGCGATGGCCGAAACCCGCGAGTCCAGAATCCTCCTTCGGCGAGGAACAATCCTTCAGCATGACGAACATGACAGAGTTCGTGTGCTTCGAGACACGGATCTTCTGATTCGAGGAGAACACATCGCCCAGATCGGGAAAGACTTGGTGGTTGGACCAGACACCAAAGTCATAGACTGCCATGGCAAGGTGGTCTCGCCTGGTTTTGTCGATACTCATCATCACGTTTGGCAAACTCAGCTCAAGGGAAGGCACAGCGACGACAGTCTCCTCGATTACACTGCAAAAGGCAATTGGCAGCCGTTCAATTATACCGCACGAGACGTCTTCTGGGGTGAACTGGGAGGGTTGATGGAGGCCATCGATGGAGGGACGACATGTATTGTGGACCATGCTCACATGGCCTACTCTCCGAGTCACGGCTTTGCCGCCCTCGCAGCCACTCTTTGCTCTCAAATACGTTCAATCTTATGCCTCAGCGTGACCCCACGGCTTAAGAGATGGGATAATGAAGTCATTGCGGACAGCCAGCTCGTACCTGATTGGTTTTTCCCGCTGCTGCGCGACCTCCAGCAACAAACACAACGACCATGTGGAAGAGTGGCTATGGGGCTTGGCTTTGACTCCTACACATTACCACGCGAGGACGTAATACACATATTCGAAACAGCTCGGAATATCGGAGCCAAGATAATCACTTCCCACTGGCGAAGGAATAACATTGCAGGTATGCGGCAACCCCTGGTCGGCTAACATCTTCTTCCTTTCCTTCTGACTCCTCGCAGGCATGGGGCTCTCTGTGCCCAAGGCGTTAGAAGAGTATGGTCTGCTCAGATCAGACATTATTCTGTCTCATGCCACCGGGTCAACGGAAGAGGAACTCGAGATAATGCGAAAATCAGGGGCATTCGTTGCTGCGACTCCGGGTACGGAGTCCCAAATGGCTCATGGCGAGATTACCGGGTTCAGAAAAGACGTGCGAGGCTCTATTGGCGCCGATTGTGGGTTTCGACTACAGATCTTTTGTCTTTGGCTCCCAGACTGATGACGCTCGTTATAGGTCATTCCAATAACCCTTCGACCTTGCTTCATGCAATGCAGGTCGGTCTTGCAGTAACACGCTCCCACCGCAACTCTCAAATGTTGGCCGATGGGAAGTTCCCAAAACATATCGAGCCTACAACGGAACATGCCTTCAATCTGGCGACGATCCTGGGAGCTCGCGCCGCGTGTGTATCAGACAAGACTGGAAGCCTAACAGAAGGAAAAGCAGCGGACATCATCGTGATCAACGGTAATACTCCAGCTATGTGTTGCGCATTTGAGCATGACCCCCTAGTTGCGGTAGTCAGACATGCTGGCATTCAAGAGATAGACACCGTCATGGTTGCGGGTAGCATCCTCAAAGAACAGGGCCGACTTGTCAAGGTCTCCTTCAACGGGCCGAAGGTATGGGACGGCAGTGAAGATGTCATCCCAATATTTGACCATGGGAGCATCGCTTGGTCCACGGTAGCAGAGCAATTGCGCAGCACAAGATTGGACATCCAGAAGAGAATAGATTCTTGCAACATGGATGCTGCGAAAAGAGAAATCCTCAAGCTTTGGGGCTCAAAGGATGGCGCTGACTTACTAGTCTAGGAGACGACATCGGTATATGCCCTGTTGAAGGAGCACAGGGTGAGGATAGTTGGTATACTCCGTACCCACGGCGACAACGGAACAGAGGCCAGGTTTAAAGGACCCCGAGTAAATCTTTAGATACGTTCCTAGGTAGGAAGCTGAAGCCGAAGCTCTTCTAAATTTGCGCTTACGCCGGTTAAGCATAATCCTTATCGGAATGACTGCACCATAAGCCCCCCGCCACCATGATTCTCCCACACATTAATCTTTTCACTGGAGATATATAATAACTGAGATGCGCCTTTCCTACCGTTGACTATTCTCCAATCGAGTACCAAAGTATCTGACACAAGGGACTGTCATCGTTCGACACTTGCGCTACGGCAGACTGAGGTCTCCTTTCGGACGGAGGGAATTTTGTACGCATCTCGTGCTTACCCAGTCAGACCGAGCACGCCATTCAGCGGCGAAATTTCGCTGTCGCACTGGACCTTTGTAACTTCAACTTTCTACCTCAACGGATGCTGCCGTGCTCTACGCAGAAGTTCCTACAGCAGGTCATCAATTACTACCTCGTGCCTGGATATACCCATGGCTGAAATAGCACAGCGTGTCGACAAGCAGATTCAGAGCAATGTAGAACCAGTGGCACGCCTACAGCCATGTATCACGGAGGGCCCTTCTACACTCGACGAAAGTGACTTTGTGACGGTCACAGAGGACCGTGAGCTTAGGCGAGGTCTTCATCAACGACATGTGTCCCTCATCGCTATCGCTGGAGCTATCGTAGGTTTCACGGCATTTTCCTTTTCATCTCCCCGTCGGGAAGCTGATTCATGCCCGAAGGGAACAGGTCTGTTCTTAGGACTCGGAGGATCAATTCAGACGGCAGGTCCTTTAGGGGCACTGCTTGCCTACGCGACCATCGGTTTAGTTGTTTGCGCGGTTCAGTTTGCTCTGGGTGAAGTGACAGCTCTTCTGCCTGTTACTGGCTCCTTTGTCCGGCATGCTGAACTCTTGATCGATCCTGCTTTTGGCTTTGCAATTGGGTGCGTCGCCCCTTGAGTGCCGAACAAATCACTTCCTAACACATCCCCAACAGTTATAACCTGGTGTACGGCAACTGTCTCTCCATTCCCACTGAAATCACAGCAATTTGCGTTCTTTTCCAGTACTGGACGGACATCAATCCCTCACTATGGATTGTGATATTTATTGCTCTGACCGTCATCGTCGGCCTATCTTTTATCGGCGTCTATGGCGAGGTCGAGTTCTGGTTTGCTCTCCTCAAGATCCTCTTCATTGTCTTCCTGATTCTGCTCGGCTTGGTCATCGACCTGGGCGGAGTGTCGGGTACACCCCGAACTGGCTTTAGATACTGGAAGAATCCTGGCCCATTCGTCGAGTACATAGCCGCTGGCTCCTGGGGCAAGTTTCTCGGTTACTGGGCTGTTATGAGCAACGCTGTCTTCAGCTTTGCGGGAACCGAGAGCATTGCTATGGCGGCAGCCGAGACGCGTCATCCACGTGTGGCAATTCCCAAGGCATGTAAGCGGGTCTTTGTCCGTGTTTCAACCTTTTACATCCTGGCTGTCCTCATTGTAGGCATGCTTGTACCGAGCAACGACCCCAGACTTGACGATGAGTCCGGCACTGCTGCGCAGAGCCCGTTTGTTATCGCAGCCAGCGCAGCGGGCCTCAAAGGCGTTCCATCGCTAGTGAACGCCATCGTGATCACCTCTGCGTGGTCCAGCTCGAATCAAGCCTTGCTGTCCGGTACCCGTGTCCTGTACGGCCTTGCACTGAAGCATCAGGCGCCCAAAGTCTTTCTGCGCACTACACCATGGGGCGTTCCATACGTTTGCGTGCTATTCTTTGCTGCGTTCATGTTCCTTGCTTTCATGAGCCTATCGAACAGCGCGCTAACGGTATTCTGGTGGCTCGTGGATTTGACGGCGTGCGGTGTACTAGTTTCGTGGATCACGGTGCTGTTGAATCATCTCCGACTTCTCCGGGCTATGAAGGCGCAAGGACTAGAGTTGAAGATGCTCCCTTGGCATTCAAGATGGACTGGTACATGTTGAAACACTCTTTTTTCTGCTTACAACATGCTAACGTTACTTTTTTTTTTACAACAGAGTTTTCGACGCCCGCGGCACTCTTCTTGTGCGTCGTGATTCTCCTCACAGCCGGATTCCCAGTCTTCACCAAGGGCAATTGGTCCACCAGTGGGTTCATCTCGTCATATTTGTAAGTATACAGAACTCAGCACCTTTCAATATGTCTGCTGACGTCACTATCAAAGGGATATACCTCTTGTGGTCACGGCATACGTTGCATGGAAGATATATAAGCGGACGAAGATTGTGAAACTTTCAGAGATCCCTATTGAAGAGGCTCTTGCACGAGCAGCTGAAGATATAGAGCCAGAAGCCAAAACGCCAAGATGGAAGAAGATGATAGGGTTCCTTTGGGACTAACGCAGCCGTTGCGTTGGGAGACGGATAGGGCCAAGCTTACACCGCTCGCATTCATCTCCACGGCAGCGGACAGATGGAGGAAAAATAATGCGGTCCATTAGACATGGCGTGCGCTTTCGCGTCTAGACACTGTGTTAAAAAGAGTCTTACTTGATGATGCGACAAGCTGGAGAACGTGGCCCGCGAACAGGAGAAGCGGTTTGCATATGCAGTGGTTTTCGGTGCCGGCCCGGCTTTCTAGAAAACTGCCAATACTAGTTTCACCACTGCAGGAAGAGGCCGGAATACTCCGTGTGAGAGAATCTGCCGGGAATACGGATCAACGGAGAGGAGTCCGCCACTTGCTCTCGCGTTCGACATAACAAGTACGAAGCATTGCTACAAGCCCGCAAGGGTTGAGTGGCGAGCGAAATGCCCGCAAAGCAGTATCATGCCACTAGTCATCGGATTTTCTGGCCTCTAAAAATCAAGCACCACCAAGCTTTGGCTCGTGCCATGTGCGAGGTACTGGGCGGGTCGCCAAACCCTGGTAAGACTTTCGAACTACCCATATCAGTGCATAACGGCTATCTCCAACAGTGTTGTGCAGTCCACTTAGAAACCCAGAAGATCCATATCAGGACTAGATTTTCTGAAGCCAGACCGTCTGTACATGCAGGACCAAAAATGACGCGAACGATGGCTAATATCACGAACGACGGGCAAGAAGGCTTATAAAAAATTGCAATCCTCGACTTGGCCTGCCACTTCACTCCTTTCTTGGATTACATCCTCCGAATTTTATCCATGACCGTGTCTCGTTCTTATTCCTGACACCATTCTTTCCAGTTCGATTGCAATGGCCGAAAAGCTTGCGCTGCCTGGGGTGGCAGAGAAGCCCGAACCACATATCTCGGAGAGGGATGCAGACGTGACTTTCAACCTGGTGAAGGAGTATGGAGAGTCGATTGATCTCTTATTAGATCAAGGTGGCGTACGCAGACTCAAGCGAAAGCTGTACTATGGTCTTGTGCCGCTCTTGTTGACGATCAATCTGATGCTTTTCGTATGTTAGCACGAAAGGGAGGTCCAAAACCACGCAAAACTAACATGTATTGACAGATCGATAAGGCCACCTTGGCTTATGCTTCAATCCTAGGCTTGTTCGAGGAGACTGGTATTGGCAATGGACAGTACAACAACCTCAACACGCTCTTCTACGCTGGTACGGACAGAATTGACAGCATCGAAGCAACGAACCCGGCTGACTCTAGTCTCAAGGTTACATCATAGGCCAAGTGCCAGGTCACTATCTTATTCAACGAGTACCTCTCGGTCGCTTCATGGGTGTGACCATCTTCCTCTGGTCCGTGATCGTCTTCCTTCACTGCACGGCAGAAAGCTACGGCGCACTAATTGCCCTGAGATTCTTCTTGGGGTTCGTCGAGTCAGTGGTGGTCCCGGCAATTGAAATCACCATGGGCATGTTTTTCGTCCCACACGTCCAAGGGCTGCTTCAACCGCTGTTCTGGATCTCTTGCATGGGCGCACCTATCCCCGCAGGTTTCATTGCATACGGCCTTTTGTACAGCCACAGCTCGGTGCTACCTTGGAAACTCTTCATGGTCGTCACAGGAGGTTTGACCTTCTTTCTTTCGATCCTGGTCTTTTTCATCTATCCTAATAACCCGGGTGAAGCACGGTTCTTGAACCTCCAGGAGAGACTGTACCTGGTCAAAGAAATCCACAGTGCAACGACGAGTTCCATCGAGCACAAGAAAGTGAAGAAAAGCCAACTGCGCGAAGCCATCAAAGATCCTATTTCCTGGCTCTTCGGGCTCCAAGCCTTCACGCTCATGATCTCCAACAATATTGCATACCAACAGAATCTTCTCTTCGTCGCCATCGGTGTATCTGACCTCGGCTCTACGCTTGTCAGCACCGCGGGCGGTGGCTTCGCCGTCGCCTGTTGCATAGTCGCTACAATTTTGCTGCATTATTTTCCATGGCGTAAGGCTTACTGGGGAACCATATGGTGTCTCCCCGCCATTGCGGGCGGAATTGGCATGGTGGCTATTCAATGGGGCAAGACCATCTCCCTGTTGGCGTGCTTGATCCTTGCCGGCAATACCTATGGCATCACGTACATCATTGCGCTTGGTTGGACTACGTCGACAGCGGCGGGATATACAAAGAAATTAGCCCGCAACGTTTTCTTCATGGCTGGCTATGGCATTGCCAACTTGATATCACCACAGATCTGGGTCCCGAGAGATGCCCCCCGGTATTACTCAGCGTGGATCGTCCAGATCGTTATCAGCTGGGTCGGCACCCCGGCGATACTGCTGGTGATCAACTGGATCCTCTCTCGCCGGAACAAGGAGCGCCGTGCGTGGATTGCAGAGCAGCAAGCTGCCGGAAAGACGAGGACAGGAGTCATTGACCAGATTGACGCCGACGGGAATAGAATTGAGGTGGAGGTGGACATCTCCCTTCTGGATTTGACGGATCTGGAGAACAAATATTTCATCTATCCTCTCTAGATTTTGTTGGACAACGGTGATGGGAAGAAATGCTCATTTAGTCACTTTCATGGGAACATATACTGTCTGTGTATTGCAGCATCATCTTCATAGTGGAACAATTCACGTATTGGAGGAGAGAAAAGGCTGGCGAGCAAGAAGAGGAAAGGCCTTTCCCAAAAGGGCGCGTTCTGGCCCCCATGCATTTACGGGACAGGCTCTCACTGCTAATGGTGAGATCAAAGAGCGAATCAAAGTCTTAGGAGCTGCGCAATACTAAACACTGCGTGGGGTCTCGTGTCCAGAGAAGTGGATCGTTGACGATGGCGTGCCAGAATCCGAGTATTGCGATTGTCGACCATGTCCGAAATCTCCACGAATAGCAGCCAGACTACAAATGGAATCAACGCCAGACTCGAGAAATAAGATGAGTTGCGAGAGAAATTATTTGGGGATCGTCCTCACTGGGCCAAATTCAACTACCCGCTCGAAGCTGAGGCGCAAGACTTTGTATCAGTTTTATATCATATAATGGCAGAAATATCAAAGCCTGTGACATCCAATGGCGTCGCTACCGCTGGAGATACCTCTGGGAGGAAGAAAGAGTTCATCCTCAATGCCTTTGTAATGAACACTCCAGGACATCTTGCGCCCGGGCTGTGGCGACACCCTCGAAATAGGACAGACGAGTACAAGAAACTGTCCTTTTGGACGGATCTGGCGCAGTTGCTCGACCGGGCCAATTTCCACGCAATGTTCATTGCAGACACTTTAGGCCCTTACGACGTCTACAAGGGTCCAGCAAACGTCGTTCCTGCGCTGTCGTCGGGCGCCCAGTTTCCCGTGAACGATCCGTTGTACTTGGTCCCGGCCATGGCGGCGGTCACCAAGAACTTGATATTCGGGGTGACGGCCAGCCTCACTTACGAGAAGCCGTACGCCCTGGCGAGGCGCCTTTCAACGGTTGACCACCTTAGCGACGGCCGGCTGGCCTGGAATATTGTCACTTCGTACCTGGACAGTGCGGCGCGGAACCATGGGCTGAAGGAACAAATTCCTCACGACGAGAGGTACGCCATTGCCCACGAATACATGGAGGTAGTGTATAAGCTCTGGGAGGGCAGCTTCCGGGACGACGCGGTCCTTGCGGACAAAGACGCGGGTGTCTACATTGCTGCGGACGGCGTCCGACAGATCAATCACAAGGGCAAATACTTCGAGGTGCCGGGCCCCCATTTCTGCGAGCCGTCGCCACAGCGCACTCCCTTCCTATTCCAGGCCGGCGTATCCGAGGCCGGCAACGGCTTTGGAGGCAAGCACGGAGAGGCAATCTTTATTGGCGGTCAAACACCGGAAGTGACCCGTGCCACCGTCGAAAACATTCGGAAAGTCGCACAGAACGAAGGGCGGGACCCAAACCACATCAAGGTCATTGTCGGTATTAATGTGATAGTCGCGCCCACCGACGAGGAAGCACACCAAAAGCGGGAAGACTACTTGAAATACGCCGATCACGAGGGTGCTCTAGCTCTGTTCGGAGGATGGACTGGAGTCGACCTGTCAGGCTACTCGGACGACGAGGACTTTAACATGTCGGACTCTCCACGAGTTCGTTCCATTGTGCGACGATGGTCAAGTACTGTCCCAGGTACCGACAATTTACCCTGGACAAAAAAAAGAATCGTGGAATACCTCAGTGTCGGAGGACTTGGGGCAAAAGTCATAGGAAGCCCGACCACGGTGGCTGACGAATTGGAACGCTGGGTGGAGGTCTCTGGCGTGGATGGCTTCAATCTAGCTCATATCGCCAATCCTGGGACCTTCGAGGACATCATCGAATACTTGTTGCCCGAGTTGCGGCGCCGCGGGCTCTTTAGATCTGCCGTGGAGAAGGAAGGTGCCACGGCGAGAGAAGTCTTCCTGGGAACCAGAAGACTGCCAGAAGACCACCCTGGCTCCAAGTACAAATGGGCGGCTGGTGACAAGCTTCCTAGATACCAGGCTGAAGAGCCAGTTTCGGTTGCTTCCTGATAGACGGAAAAGTAGAGCTTCATATCTAATCAGGATAAACTTCGAGCAATCAGTTCCTTGAAAGACAGCTTCAAAACATTGGAGGGAAGACAAGATGTCGTCCACTATTAAACACCAAGTGGTTGAACGATAAGCCCCCTAATTATGCTTCCGGCGTTTATACTATGAAAGAGTTCCGAGAGCTCGATACTGCTTCTCGGGCACAGGTGCGTCTGCCATAACAACGACAACCTATCGACGTTTCCGCTGAGTATATTTCAAGTGATATCAACTGGACTCTCTCCTGGCACAAGACACTTGGCGTTACTATGATATTGCGCCTCGTTTGGGTGGGAGTATAGGTCATTCACTTAGCTCTGCAGACGCGAGGATGTGGTTCTCTATCATCTTCTGAGGCTATACAGTGTCTATGCTGTAGCCGGAACCATTGTCACGGCTTGAACATATCTCCACTTATGATTCGAAGTAAGGGTTGTTTACTATGGCACGTATGGATACTACCAAGGACGTACAAGAAGCCTTTGGATTGCTGTCCAAATTTACTATGATATAAGTCTCTATTACGAAATCGTGAACCCCCTAAGCGCGAATGTCCAGGTCTGCACTAAACTGTTCGCTATGTAACTCGGCAGAATAGATAGCCCAGGCCATTAGACTCCAATACCCTGATATCGGCTTTGTAACGTCTCTCCCAGCGCGACCACGTGACCCAGATAAACGTTTAGATTAGGTTTCCGAAAATTCGGCAGCGAGAAAATCGCAAGGCCGAGCGAATCTGGGACCTTGTTCCTTCATATTCCTACCGAGTATTGAGCTGAGAGGTCGTCTGCCTCTTGCTCTCGTCCAAGCCGCGAATACCAAGATGAATCAACATGATATTCTCCAGGATGCGTGGTCACCGTTTCCGATGCTGGACTTCTCCACCGGCCCGCTCTTCGATGATGACCCAGCGGTCGCTTTCTGGGATTTTTCTGCCGGACTAGAACCTCTGCTCTCCTCTACAGAGACTAGGACTGAGGTCTCCAGACGCCGTATTCCTAAGAGCTATAACGTAAGAACCGAAACCACTTATCTATATCCTGCACCACCAGGCTGACTCCTTCCCGATTCCCCACTCCAGGGTTGTATAACTTGTCGACAGCGAAAGATCAAGGCAAGTCTCTCTCTCTCCCCTTCTTTGCCACTTTTTTGGGGTGCTGACATGGCGGTGCCCAGTGCGACGAGAGACGTCCGTTCTGTGGTAATTGTGAGCGCACTCGGCATTACCAATGTCAAGGATATCTGCACGATACCCACTCAGCCGCCTCACCGAGACACGGTCAGAATGCTCCGCACAAGCGAGCGAAAACTGCCCACACAGCCGCTGTAAACTTGCAGGACTTCACCCGCAAAGGGGAACAGCGAATTAGGCATGCAACACACGTACCAAGCCCAGGGTCGCGGCTTGATCAGGAGCAATCGGAGAGTCGTGTACACAACGACGCATCTCGCTCAAAACCGGCGGAGGCGGTACTCACGACGTCCAGCACTGTCCCGGACCAGCATGGCGACAATGCCGACCGCCTGCAAGCATCCAACTCTACGGGCTACCTCGGTGATCGACGCCTGGTCCCCGATGACAGAGACACCGATCTGCTGGCCTATTTCCAGAACACGATTTGCCCGATCATGCTCCCGTCGCTGGATGCGGTCAGGAATCCTTGGCTTCAAATATATATGCCCATGGCATTGCGCAGGGAGCAAACACGTGGACGGGCCGCGCTGCGACATGCCTTGATGTCGGTAGCGGCATCTCATCTGACCCATCGTGATGAACGAGATCGCGCACGGTACCAGGAAAGAGCCAAGTTCCACCAAGACAAGGCCATCAAGATCCTCACTAGCATGCTCTTGCAGGACATGGCGCGTCTCAAGGAACTCGAGAAGTGTACAATCCTGGCTGCAGCGTTGGCGTTGATTACCACCCACATCTGGGGCCGCGACGAACGGTCAGACTGCTACACGTTTCTCAACTTGGCGAAACGGCTTGCCCACGCCACCGGAGGCGAGTCGTTCTGGAAGTCGAGCGTGCTTTCTTGCATCCTTTTGCAGCTTTTGCGGGCCTACGACCTTGTGGCGGCGACCGCGCAGCTCCAAGCAGAGACTGATGCCATAGAAGAAGATTGGTTTGGCGCGGACAGTGCTGTCCTCTCGGCGTCTCCAACGAACAACATTGACGAGGTCGATCGTCCTGACGACGGTCCAAGTCTGAGCAGCGGCGATGCAGGATCTTGTGATGGGCGTGATGGAGGCCCCAGCCAGAACATTCCCTACATCCTGGATACCTCGTTTGGGATCTCTGCTCAGACGATGACCCTGCTGCATGAGCTGATCCGACTTCGATCCTCGTACGAATCCAACAGTCAACCACCGAGCCTGGCCAACTCGGTGTTTCAAGCCACCGACGCCCTCGCCAAACGTCTCTACGCTGTTGACGTGGACGACGCTGCATTCCGGGCCCAAACCTCCTTGAGTCCAATCCTGACTCCGGGCGTCACCGAGTCGGCACTTTTTGACACGAGCAGCATCATGGGCGACGATCAAGAGCGCCTTCCGCGGCCCGTGATGGAGGAAGTGATGGAAAACTACCAATGGGCTTTCCACCATGCTGTGGTCCTCTATTTCCACCGGGTCGTGCCGCCGTCGTTGTTCTCGCTTGATGCCAACGCCCACCGCAGAATGGAGGGCGATCAGCGGGCCGCCGGATTGGCTTCCGCCGCAAGGGAGGATTGCCAGGAGCTGGTCCGGAGACTGTTCGATCGCCTGGAAAACATCGACTGCCTGACCGCCGGGACGAAGGTGCGGCCCTCGATCGCACTCTGGCCTGCCTTCATTGCGGCTGCAGAGGCTGTCGACGTCGATTCCCGACACAGAGCGCTCATTTGGTTTGCAAAGGCCGCCAAGAGAGGGATAGGGAATATCCCCCGCGCCAAAGACATTGTCATGGCGACCTGGAGGGCCACGGACCGACGGATTTGGGGCCAGTCCACGCCGTTGAAAAGAGGTCTCAGTCCCGTAGACTGGAGAATGGTCATGAAAAATAGCGGCACGGTCATCATGCTGGCGTAGAGGGCAACCCCGCAACGATGTTTGATGTGGCGAACGCTGTTTTCAAGTGCTCCACCAGCCCCTTGTCTAACATAGAACTTTTATACTGCTGCGGTGGTCTTCGTATTTAGATAGCTGTCAATAAGATCTTGCCAAAGTTATAATTCTTCACCCTGTAGAGGGAGCGAGCATGTCTACTACCTTCTTGGGGATCGTAAAAGCTTGCGCTACCCAAGACCATCTACCAACTCCATACAGGTTACATTTGCAAGCGCATCAATAAAATGTCCGTGGCTTGGAATGCTCTGCTGAAAAGTGTTCCCAGCGTTCTACGACCTGGCGTGGTCGTTTGCAGCGTACAAAGCCATAACCCAAGGGGTTCCCAAACACAGCGATCCATTTCGGGGATAGTACTGAGACTGGCCGCCACCCGCGTGAGTTCCAGGACTAATCGAAGATCCTGTCGAGGACTCTATCAAGCCAAAACCTATCGCAAGAAGCCATGTCAGCCGCCTGAGGTTCACGCACGGTGGAAAATAAAGAACTCAAGATCCTCTTACACTGATCTGACGGGGACAAAGCTGGCCTCGTAGGCCTCTATTTCCGCGACGTCCGATCGCAGATCCACCTGCTCCGAAGGGATCTGCTTGGTCCGCTTGAAAAGTTTCCAGAACAGGAAGACGCACGGGAAAACGCCGACCATGGTGTAGGCGAAGAAGAACGTCGGGACGTCCCAGTTTCCTTTGAGAAAGACTGGGGCCGAGTTCATTAGCTGAATGGTTTCCCTCCTTTGGCAGACGATGCTTTTTCTTACCTCCGAACCCGTTCAGGAGCATCATGAGAACGTTCCAGAAAATGCCGTAGTAAGCGGCATACCTGTGCGCGCATATAATGAGTAACCCGCTGACGGAACTTGCAGGTTGTCTTGAGAACTTTGGACTTACGGCTGGAAGTAACCCTTGTACGGCAGCTTCTCTCGCGCAAGCCCCTGCACCATACACGCTTTTCTAAATCTGAGATAGGTGTAACAGTTGGCCGCGTAATTGATCAACATGCCGCCGGTAACCTATTCCAGTGATCAGTAAAGACAAGCCAACGACCATCACAGGGAGAGGAGGTGGTACCAATGAGACGATCCACGAGAAGACTTTCGCGGATGAGTTGGAGACCTGCATGAACGCCAGGGTACCGATGCAAAGCACGGCCCCGACGGCATAAATTGGACTTCCCGCTTTGGTCGTTTTGGCAAAGATCCGGGGAGCTTTGCCACGCAGCGCCAGTCCGTAGAGTGTTCGGGTCGCCGCGAAAAAGTAGCCGTTTCCGGCGGAAAAGGCAGATGTCAAGAGGACGGCGTTGACAATGTGCGGGAGCACGGGGATCCCGAAGCTCTGCATCGAAATCACGTACGGGCTCGAAGATGCATTCGACCCCGACGTGGCGTACGCGTTGGCCAATGCCTCTGAATTGGCCGGGACGACGATGCCCACGCAGAGGGCACCGAGGATGAAGAATAGACTCAGTCGCCAGAAGACGGCCTTGTACGCGCGAGGCATGACCTTTCGGGGGTTCTCCGCCTCTCCAGCGGCCATGGACACCAGTTCAGGCCCCGTCACCGTCACGGTGGCCAGGATGAGAGTCTGTAAGAAGCCCAGGAATCTTCCGGTGTCCCCTGTCGTGTAATATTCGACAAAGGCGCCTCCCTTTCCCCAGTTTCTGTCCTCAAGTCAGTGTCAGGCCATATTCGCGGCTGATGAGGTGACAAACTCGAAACCATAGGCATGATGATCCGGATTCCCGCCACACATTGTCACAAGGGTATAGAAGGTCAGGCCAAAGACTAGAAGCACCTTGAGCATCGACAGGTAGAACTCGGTGGTGCCGAAATATTTCACGCCGAAAACGTTGATGCTCGTGTACAGTATGAGGCCAACAACCACTACCACGGCGACGGGAATTCGAGTGGTCCAGAAATGGAGGACGATGTTGAGGGCAGTCAGCTCAAAAGGTACCAGAAATGCCTCGAGCAGGAAAAAGTTGAACCCGACGGCAACGCCGAAAGCGTCATCGACGAAGCGGCCAGCAAGGGTGATGAATGGCGAGGAGATTGGCAGGTAGGAGATCATCTCTGACAACGCTATCGAACCACAACTATCAGCATCGAACCATAACTTTTTCCCTTGAAGCTCTTGCGTCTCACGGAGAGAATGGGAAGCGCGTTGTCATGAAAAAACTTACACGCCGTCACGGCCAGCACCACAGAAGCCCAAAAGATAAAACTGATCAAGAGAGACCCTGGACCTCCGTTGATCAATCCTCTGCCGATGCCAACGAACTATGGAGGTCAGTACAATCAAGGCTGGGTTTCAAAGAATGCAAGCAAAGCGAGAAGCAGAGAATGTCTTGAAAGTAGGAGAGAGGCTGACCAAAACGGTGCCAATGGTTCCACCGATACCCAAGAGTTGGATATGGCGAGGTTTCAAATGCCGCTTTGTGTGGTTGTACTGGGTTACACTTCCCTCGAACGAGCGCGATTCCGAAGAGTCCTGGGGCGATTCGACCCCCGTGAGCTCAGCGCCCAGTTTTTCCATGGTGTCTAGGTGGGGGGTGTGCGGTGATGAATGTCTGATGTCCTCGATAGAATGAAGGGTGGACAGGCGCGATTTGCAACCTCCAGGGAGACGTATGGAAATTTGATTTCCCTAGGTAACGCGGAGTTGCAACTTGATATCTCGTGCATGCACAGAAGTGACGCTGGGGAAATCGATATCCTCCGAGCGGGACGTGCTCGCTTTTTATCTTGGACGACTGGCGTGGTCGGATAGGCCATCAAGGTCTAGAGCTTTCAAGGCGAAGAAACTGCCCGTGTGTCCTAGATAACGAAGCGTTAGCATGCCGTGATTGATCCGAAACTCACGCCTAGTATTATCCTCCCCGGATAGCTGGACGACGGCGACGAGTCTCGTTATCGCTGGACCTTGGGGGAACGAGCCCCAAAACTCTAATCGTACATCAATTGGCGCCGCAGTCCTCTCGAGGAGCGAATTTTCGGGTTCGGGATGAATGTGGGTCTAATATATCCCAGCGAGCCAATCGCAGACGACCAAAAATGCTTCCAAAGTCCATGCGATCAATGTCGTTCTAGAGTGATTGGTGGTGCGGTAGGCTGTAGGTACAGTATACGTATACAGAAAGCGAAACTGAATCGGATGCTGCAGACTACCTGTAAGCAATCTCCATTATTGTGCTCGAGTGGTCCAAATTCTCGAGGAGACCCAGCCAACACTGACACCTCCTCTCCGCCTCCTTATAGTTACTTGTTCTTGACCACAGCCCTTCTCCGACCACGCTCTTCTGGTTGAGTATTGTTGCCGAAGATTCAGCTCCCATGTCGGCAGTCTTCCACAGATCGTTGGGCAAGGTCTATCCGACGGCGGTGGCCGGTCACGGAGTTTACATTCAAAACAAAGAGGGTGCTCTGGTGATTGATGGAAGCTCCGGCGCGGCCGTCTCTTGTCTGGGTCATGGGCACAAGGAGGTTATCGAAGCCATCGTGGACCAAGCACGAGCAATGGCGTATGCTCATACCTCCTTCTTCACCAATGATCCGGCCGAAATGCTGGCGTCAGTCCTGATCTCGACTTGCCCATCAGTCTTTGCGAAGGTGATATTTTTGAGCTCAGGTAAGCCCCAAGGAAATCAAGAGTGGAGAAACTTTATGCTCACACATTGCTCATCCGTGTTTCAGGGTCGGAAGCGGTGGAATCAGCCTTGAAAGTAGCTCGACAATATCACATTTGCAATGGGGAGCCTAGTCGCCATCTGTTCATCTCCCGACGCTTCTCCTATCATGGCAACACTCTAGGGGCCCTTTCTGCCGGCTTCAATCCAGATCGTCGACTTGCATTCGAACCCATGTTATCTCCGGCTTTCTCCCACGTCTCTCCTTGTTTCTGGTCTCGTGATGGGTTTCCTGGCGAGAGTGAGGAGTCTTATGTTGATCGACTCGTCGAGGAATACGAGAGCGCAATCGAAAAACTCGGGTCCGAGACCGTTGCTGCAATAATCCTGGAACCAATCTCTGGAGCAACCCTGGGAGCTGTGCCGGCCGCCAAGGGCTATTTGGGTCGGTTGAGAGCATTGTGTGATCAGCATGGGATTCTGTTGATTTTTGACGAAGTCATGTGCGGAATGGGTCGGACGGGGACGATTCATGCGTGGCAGTCGTTGGGTAACTCGGCCCCGGACGTCCAAACCATTGGCAAAGGTCTCGGTGCCGGATATCAGCCTATTTCGGCGGTGCTGCTGTCGCACAAGGTCCATGGCGTTCTGGAGAAGACGCATAAGCAACACACCTTCGTTAGCGGCCACACTTACCAAGGTCATGCGATTGGCTGTGCAGCTGCGCTCGCAACGCAGCGAGTTATAGCCGAAGAGAATCTTCTCGAGAATGTCCGACGGATGGGAGATCGGCTCAACCAAAGCCTGACATTACGCACACCCTTGTTGAAAGAGGTTCGTGGGATGGGTCTATTTCAAGCTGTCGAGTTTGCGACTGAGCCCGGCTCTGGCATTGCGGCAGAGGTTGCATCGACATGCCTGAAGGAGGGAGCCGCGGTGTACGTTTGCTCCAAAGCTGTCGATGCAATTCTCTTCGCTCCTCCGTTTATTATCTCTGAAATAGAGATCGACACGCTTGTTGAGATCTTTGTCAACTCGGCGACCAAGGTGATCCAGGCGCAGAAGATCAACGAGTCCTGTAACCACAAATAATCTGAATCAGCTACATAAATTTTTGATCAGTCTGCACCTGGTAATGTGCAGCTTAACGCCTTACTGTAGGGGGAGTGTATCTTGGAAAGCTTGCAAAGAAGCCGCCCCACAACTATCGCCAGCCAAACTTTGTAAAATTCACCCTGATCTTTCATGCTTCGAATACCACATTGATTGGGCGCTCGCCCGGTGATACGTTCGAGGAAGAGCTCGATTCGCAAAATTGATCGTGCCGGGAAAAGTCGATGGGCCAAAACGTGCTTGCTCTATTCTGCTAAGTGATAAGAGGCCCACCAGTGCCCGATCCCCTTCTGGTGCCGAGAATGGGAAGTCCACCTGCCGAAAAGACAGACAGACATCCTTTCCGAAGCCGAACTCATGCCACCCCCGCCGCTATCTATCAGACGCAACCCGAAAAAGAAGCCTACACATATGGAATACGGATGCTCTTCCCTTGAATCTTACCACTCCTGGCCTCGGAAACCTATTGTAATCCTTGACCAACATTGTTCTAGCGATTTTTAAAACGCCATTGCGACCTGGCCACAGGATAAGTTTTTAGTTGGTTCATGAACCTCTATACCCTATGATCAAGTGCGAGGCGCATATTTGTTAGCACATACTTATTCTTCTCTCGACATCAAGATGGGGTCTATTGGCGAAACAGCAGACCCCGTCCAAGCCGTTTCGAACACTCTTCGCAAATATGACATTGAGCGCGAGAAAAGGCTTCGCCCAGAGGGCCTTGACCAGTACGTGGACATTTACGAGACGAATGAACTCGAACACGGCGCAGAAGATCCTTGGATCAATAGTAACAAAGTGCCTAACTCTCTGGATGTTTATGATGGTCATCGTTGCAAGGCGGTGGTGATCGGGGCTGGATTCGGGGCTCTTATCTTCGCTGTGCGTCTGATCGAGATCGCGGGATTCAGGCCCGAGGATTTGATCTTAGTCGATAATGCTGGGGGTTTTGGCGGCACTTGGTACTGGAACCGTTATCCAAATCTGATGTGCGATGTCGAGAGTGCTTGCTACATGCCGCTGCTTGAGGAGACTGGTTACATCCCAAAACACCGCTATTCTTACGGGCCTGAGCTCAGGGAGTACGCTGAACTCGTTGCTGCGAAGTGGCGCCTTCAGGATCGCGCAATATTTGCAGCACGAGTCACGGAAACAAAATGGGACGACGGAGCCCATGAATGGGTCTCAACCATCTCACAAAGGGCGATCAATGGGCAGAGTGCAAGGAGCTTCAAAATCTACTCTTCATTCTTCGTACTCACCGCCGGGCTCCTCACGCGTCCCAAGATGCCGCGGGGACTAGGACTTCAGCATTTCAAACGCCATTGTTTCCATACCTCCCGATGGGACTACGAGTACACTGGGGGTTCCCCGGAAGATCAAACCTTGACAAATTTGAAGGACAAGCGTGTTGCAATACTCGGCACGGGGGCTGCCGCTATTCAGCTCGTCCCTGCTCTGGCAAAATGGGTCCAAGAACTGTTTGTAATTCAACGAACTCCCTCTTCTGTCGATGTGCGGGGCCAACGCTCGGTCGACCCTGACCACTTCAAAGCAAAGATTGCGACGGGGAATGGGTGGCAGCGAGCGAGACGTGAGAACATGGCAGCACTGGCAAGCAACATACCGGTCGAACGTGATTTGGTCCAGGATGGCTGGACTTCCTTTCCCTCCTTCTCAGGTCTTATTGGTGGGCCAAATGCCAAAGGTGAAACGAAAGAGATCGCGGCCGAATACATTGCCTCCCTTCACCTACTCGATCTGCCCAGGTCAGAAAGAATTCGTGCGAGAGTCGACGAGATTGTCAAGGATGCGACCACAGCAGAGAGCCTGAAACCTTGGTATGCCGGGTGGTGCAAACGTCCAGGGTTCCATGATGACTACCTGGATGCATTCAATCAGCCCAATGTGCACTTGATTGATACTACCGGGAAAGGAATAGATCGAATGACAAAGGATGGTTTTGTGGCGAACGGAGAAGAGACGTCGGTGGATTTGTTTATCTTGAGTACAGGGTACGAGACTTTCCGAGCAGGCAATCCATCTTCAAGGGCTCGCATGAGCGTCGTTGGTCGTGGAGGAATCACCATGGGCGAGAAGTGGTCCAACGGTGTTGCAACACTGCACGGTCTCTGGTCTCACGACTTTCCCAACCTCATCCTTCCTGGCGGAACTCAGGCTGCAGGAACTGTCAACGTGGTGCACACCATGGATGTCATGGCGACGCATGTTGCCAGCGTCATCGCGGCCGCTAGGGCAGAATATGGAAAGGAGAAGAAAATTGTGCTGGAACCTACCGCGGCGGCCGAGACAGATTGGTCTATTCGAATTGCCAAAGCGGCAGTGAGGCCTTCGACTCTGGCTAATTGCACACCCAGCTACTCAAACGCGGAGGGAAAAACCATAGAAGCTCCCAATCCCGAAGAAGATTTCAGGATTGCAAGGAATTCTGCATGGGCAAAGGGCCTTCTAGACTTCCAGCAGATCATCGAGAAATGGCGGGCCGATGGTGGACATGATGGGTTGGACATTGAGGTCGTGGATAGCTCCTAGTCTTTCACTACTCTGCAAGCTTGATTCGAGCTCGGTGATCGTTAGCTGGTTGGAACTTTCGATTCCAAAGCAAAATAGACCGCCGAAACCTTGACTGAGCAAAGAAGCTTCTCATCACGCCTACTGATATCAATTCGTCATGTGGCCTGTGAGCAATGAGCGGTGCATTTGATTGCATAGATTTCTCCTCACATCACCAAAACAAGCTCTCGCTCCCTCCCGAATAGACTGTGAGGACTGT